TGTGTAGCATCAGTACCTATCACAATGATTTAAAATTAAGTTATGACTACTGTGACATTTTTAAAGAGAACTAACTTATTAACTACAGTCTACGTTCTTAATTATAGTAGTCAAAATTAAACTATATTGATTAATGAAGCTCTTATACTGTAAATATCTACTTCTACAGTTCTACTGTCTTATAGACTATCAATTAAATAAAAAATAGATGTGGAGAGGTGCATTTAACAATACTATATAAAAACTACAAACAAATCAAATTTTAAAAACTATGCTCGATAAAGTGCAAAGATATCCAACAAATGATCTGTATATTGAACTCAAAGTTCTACAAGTAAAAAAAATATATGTATGAAAAATTATAATCAACTACGGCCTATATTACTAAAAAAATAACTACTAGTAGACAATTTGATATACTCGGAACTATATGTTATAACCTTATACCACCTTATATTATAAATCTTCCAAATAAATTATTTAATAAAAAAATCTCACAATGGTTAATGGAATCTCTAGATGAATTGGTAATAGAATAATCTTTTATAGACTTATTGTATGAAAGCTAAATACTAGCTTTAGAATTTTTTCTACTATTTATATTCCTACAATTAACCTATTCTCTCAATGGGCTCAGTATTTTGAAAAAAAAATTGCATTACATTAAATTAATAGTACATACCAATACCGTGTTTATCCATTAGAGAAATTAGATCAGCTTCTGTAAGAAGATTTGGAGGACTAGTTTGTCCATCAACCATTTCTAATCCAGTAGGCATAAATGATTGCCCTTGGTCGTAATTATGGATCTGTTTATTAGACCATTTATCATAAGGATAAACTTCTAGGTAATTCAATGCAATAATTCGAAGTCCATTTGCTAAAAACTAAAATGAAAATGTTCTGTATTGATAACTTATATACTAATTTAAAAGTTATGAAATTTAATTAATTATTCGTAGGTTACTTGAACATATTTAAATTCAAAACTTACCTTTTCTCCATTTATTTCAATATTTACAATAGTTTCTTCACCCTCGGCATCTTTAGATAAACAAGCTAAGAAATGTCTCACAACATATTCATAAACTTTACGTTCTCTATCTAAAATAATAAACGCTTAGTGTTATATTGTGTTTTATATTATATACAAATTTGAAAATATTTATCGTAACATAATCTACCTTGCATTCAGCAAAAGTTATTTGATAAGTGGTAGCTTAACAAGTCAATGTGTGTGCCAAACATAACAATACAATATAACTAATTATTGTGATTGAATAAATGATATCACCATGCCATTTAAAAGTCAAATATAATATTAATTAATAAAATAATCACATACAATAACCAGAATAAAGTGTAGGTTAGCATATAGTTATAAAACCACTTAATTTGGTACAATGTGAATTGCTTATATTATAATCTGTATTTTTTAAGCAAAAATTAATTTGTTAGTTATTTAATTTACATAGAAATTTGGAAGGATGACAAATAAAGAGATTTTTTAATTCACATTGTAATATATTGTTTAATATTGTGAAATTATCTTTATACTCATTAAAAGCTATAAATTAAGTAATATGCATAATAAAATATATCAAACCTTGAAGTCCATGTGTATATTTAGTTGGATGTATTGGAGGATGAGCCTGATCAGATTTTTTACCTTGTCGAGGAGTAGGACCATTGTTTAAAACACTTTGTGCAAAATCTAAGCAAATTGAATAATTTCTAGTCATATGTTTATTTACATACTATTTACAACTTATAAAAAGAAAGCACTTACCACCCCAATTGTTATCTTGTACTTGCAATTGAACTAAATTTGATAAGTTTAATTCTTTAGGAAATATGTTTGTTTCAGTTCTAGGATAGCTAATAAATCCTTGACTATACAGTTTTTCTGCAATTTTCATAGTTTCTTTAGCATTTATTCCAAGTTTACGACTAGCAGCTTTTTCCAACTCCTTAAAAAACATTAAAAGTTACATTTATTATTTTAAAAATCTGAATTTTAAAATACTATCTCATATAATATAGATTCACATATGGATAAATGCATGTAAAAACTAAAACTAATTTCTATACAAACAAAAGAAATTGCAACAATTTCATTCAGTTATTTAAATCATAAATATAAAAATATTGTTTTAGATATTAAATGTATTGAAACATGCACGAGATATTTTATAAACTTCTAAATAATCTTCCATGACAATTTACAGCATTTTAAGTTAAACTTAAAAAAATTGTTCTGTACTAAAACATTTAAAAGTGTAATTTTACCCTAAATTAATAGTACCAGCCATTTCAAATCAATTATAGATACTAGAAGAATTATATTGATGTGTGAATAGCCCTCCTCCCCCCATAAGTTCTATTTAAATATTAATCAAAACACCCCCCCTCCCTTTTAAGAAATTTCACACAAATAGATAGAATATCATTCAATTATTTATATAAACAATTAAATTAACATAATTTGACATTTATTTGAATGAATTGTTTAGGAATTTGATTATTCTTAGTATTATATTAATATATAAATTTTAATTTATTATTAATAATCCAAAATTGTTATCTATAGCGGGAATTACATTGAACTTGACAAACATTTTATCTGAAAATATAATTCTAATACAATATTATTTTACACATAAAGATCTAGTTACTTACAATAGTATCTAAAGGTACTGGTCGCCATTTGGATTTAGGTTTTTTAGTAACTTTTAACACCAAGGCAGTTGGATTTTCTTGGCAACGCTCATAAAGTACATTACAAAGAACTTCATCAAATAACCTAACTCTTTGCCATGAAAACTCTACATCCAAATTTTCAATTTTGTGATGGACTAAAAATATATAATACAAATTATATATCAATAATAATACATTATACAAAAGTAATTAATTTGTTTATTTTAAACACCTTTAATTTTCCAAAAATTTTCAGGAATAAAATTTTGAATGTCTTTGTACCGTTCAACTACAAATCCTAATGTTGGAAATTGACAACTACCATAACTAATCAAACTCTTAGCTAATACTTCAGGAAACACTTTTTGTAAACGCATTGTTTGATAACGTGTAAATGCTGCGCCTAAAATGTATTTAAATTATTAGCACAATAAAAACAAATTAATGTAAGTAAAAATATTTACTAACCAATTCTTAAATCTAATTCACTTCTCACATCAACTGCATCACTTATATTTTTATTTGGGGGCCCGAGGCTACTAATAGCTCTTTGTACTGATGGTCTAGTAATTTCAGATAATATAGCTCTAAAAACACCAACATTAATTAAAATAAACATAAAATTGTGTTTTTAATAAAACAGACCTATAAACTTGAATTCTTGGATTAACTTCTCTGCATACATCAATTATTTCAAATCCAATATTTTCTCCTTCTCGATCAGCATCAGTCCATATCACCAATGTATTACACGAACGGACTTCTCGAACTAATGTTTTCTAGAATTAAATTGTTAATATTATTTTTTTTAAAAGATCTGCCCCAAAATAATGATTATTGACATATATGGCTTAAAAGATTTTGTTTTAGATTCTGAGCAGAGCGTGAAAGCTAGTGGTCTTACAAAATGTTTTTTTTTATCCGCTCAGAATTGTTTTTCTTATACAATGATATTATATCATTGAATTCAAGTTTAATAGAATCCATTATACATTGACCCACTTGTAACCTACTGTACAGCAAAGTGACATCCACTTACCCGCATTTTTATATTTGAATACTAAATTTATTTATTATTTGATTAAATTCCTAACTTAATATTTAGCAATCATAATACTTTTTGTATAATATGTTGTTTTGTCAGTAACACATGTTCAGTATTAAAATATCAATATAGAATAATGTCAAGTGAATATTATGCATTTTACATGCATTCATATGTCTATACATTTATTTATAATTTATACAAATATTATAAGAAAAGATTTCTAACCTTAATATTTATAAAGTCATTTGGACATTCTTTTACCACAGGAATATGAAATAACTCAAGAGGAGAACATGAAGTCCATGAACGATATGAACCTTGGAATTCATACCCAAGTAAATGACCAGAAACAGATGTCATGATCATAGTGCTTGGCGACCCTTGAAATGTGTGGTTGAACTCATATATTTTGTTAAACTTTGAAAAACCTTCTCTCTGAAATTGTATTAAAATAAAGTAATCAAGCACTAGGTACAGGTAGTGTGGAAAATAAAATAAATTTTAAGTTGATTACCCTTTGTAGATTTCCACCAGACAAATGTCCAGCAATATTTTTTGCAGCATCATTTTTTTCTGCAACATTCAATACTCTCATTCTACTGCTTAAGCCTTTATTTGAGTACCCGCAAAAATGTATTCGATACACATTTTTAAATAGCACCCACAAATTAATTTCATTCCTTTTTAAAAACATTCAGTTTCAATTTTTAAAAGCACTAGACAAAACATTTTTATCATGCATAAAAGTATGTGTACTGTTTAAACGTAAAACTAATTTATTAATTAATAATTATAGCTATTGATAAATAATAAATAATAAGAAAGGCATCGATAAACTCATAAAAAAATATAAAAACAACAGTTTTCTTATGAGTCAGTTGTAAAGTGTATTCATCAATCAGCATTCAACTATACAAGTTTGAAGTCGGTTGTGTTCGGTTACTGGAACTCGAGCGTGCCGATACAAACACGTTATCATTATTATCTTGTTTTGATGGATAACCGTGATATTATGATATTTATTTGATATGAAAGTTTGATAAGGTTTATTTTTTTAAATGTCTTGTACAACAACTCTCGTATCACCACTACGGCACTAATGCACTTCCACGGCATTACGGCAGGTGAGGTTAGGGTTCTAAGTTTTAGATTGTTTTTTCATTACATTTTTAATTTTTATTAAGTTTTCATTTGTCAAAGATATATTTTTTCTATTTTTGGGTTTAGTTTATGTTGATGAATTCGTTAAACAATGGGTATTCTCGAAAAAATATCGGAAATCGAAAAGGAAATTTCCAGAACTCAAAAAAATAAAGGTATAATAATTGTTGAAGTTAATATTAATATATTTTATTATTTACTAAATAAAACGTTCCATATTTATATTTATAATATAATATTAATTTTAGCTACCGAATACCATTTGGGCTTATTAAAAGCCAAACTAGCCAAATATCGTGCTCAATTGTTGGAACCATCTAAAAAACAAGAAAAAGGAGAAGGATTTGATGTGTTGAAGTCTGGTGATGCTAGAGTGGCTTTGATTGGTTTTCCATCTGTTGGTAAAGTATGTATGATTATGGTATTTTTTTAAACCTTTCCCAACACCACCCACCCACTAAAAAAATTAATCAATTTTAATATTAATAATTATTATTTTAATTTATTGTCTTAAAGTTGTTCTTAATTTAAATTAAATTAATTATTGTACTTGTATTTTATGGTTTAGTCAACCCTTTTGAGTACGTTGACACATACAGAAAGTGAAGCAGCTTCTTATGAATTTACGACTCTGACTTGTATTCCTGGAGTAATTGAATACAAGGATGCCAATATTCAGCTATTGGATTTACCTGGTATCATTGAAGGTGCATCTCAAGGAAAAGGACGTGGTAGACAGGTAACTAAATATTAAGAATAAAACATTTATTTGTTTATTTACTTGAAAAGTAATGCATAAATAATTTATTCATAGGTTATAGCAGTTGCCAGGACTGCAGATTTAGTATTGATGATGTTGGATGCTACAAAGCAAGATATTCAGCGTCAATTATTAGAAAAAGAACTCGAAAGTGTTGGAATACGTTTAAATAAACGGAAGCCAAATATTTATTTCAAGGTAATATTTTTAATATTATGCTTTGTTTTCAATACCTGATAGGTGTATGTCTCATTATAAAGGTAAAGAAAGGTGGTGGATTGGCATTTAATGCCACTTGCCCATTAAGCAGAGTTGATGAAAAACTAGTTCAAGTGATTTTACATGAGTATAAAATATTCAATGCAGAAGTACTATTTCGAGAAGATTGTACACCTGATGAACTGATTGATGTGATTTCTGACAATCGTGTTTACTTACCATGTATGTATGTTTACAACAAAATTGATCAAATATCTATCGAGGAAGTTGACAGGATTGCCAGACAACCTAACAGTGTTGTAGTCAGGTATTAAAGAGTTGTAATCATAGTTTTAGCTTATATAACCTTTTACCAAAATATATTTCTTGACTAGATCACAAAAATATGTAGAGTATAGTTTAATCCCTCCCCTATTAAACATTCCCCCATCTTGGAACGGCTCTGATGGAGTAACTAAACTACATTTTGTGTAAGTGATTTCCTAAAGTACTAAACAAATAACAATGTGTTAATAACTTATTAAAACTGAAATGGGGAGGTTCATAAAAAAAACAATTAAATTTTAGTACATGATAGATTATAGATAAGATTTGATAAAAATAATAACAATTTTGTAATTTATAGATTTTAAGTTGTATGAACTATATTTTATTAGGTTAATAAATAAATACACAATATATACAATTTCCAAGGTGGATGGACCAAAGCCCCTTACTCCTCTGATTAAAATAATAACAATTCTTATTACTTTTTAGTTTTTTACTATTTAAAAATATAACATGCTCATTTTATTTTTAGCTGTAATATGAAGCTAAATCTTGACTATTTACTGGAAGTACTGTGGCAATATTTATCATTGATTCGAGTATATACTAAAAAGCCAGGGCAACCACCAGATTTCGATGATTGTTTAATTTTAAGAAAAGGTGTTTCTGTGGAACATGTTTGTCATTCAATACATCGTACCTTAGCAGAACAATTTAAATATGCTTTAGTTTGGGTATGTATTTTATCAATTCAAAAATGTAGACAATATTTATTTTTATGTATTTTATTTTTAGGGCACAAGTACAAAATATTCACCTCAAAGAGTGGGTCTGCAGCATATTATGCATGATGAAGATGTTATACAAGTTGTGAAAAAATAAAAATATTTTACATGAAAAAAAATGAATTTACTAATAATAAAATATATATTACTTAATACTTTATGAATATAATATATATTTATATTAGTGATAATTGCAGATTATAAAACAATTAAAGCATAATATTTATATTTGATAATTGTTGAATTTCTCGTATTAAGATGCTGAAATTTGCCTGAGCGGACCATCTAAATATGAGGATAAAGCTGTTATTTTTTCTTTAAGTAAACCAAATTCCACTGATCGATTTGCATACAAGCATAATAAAATGTTGGCAACTTGTTTAATCGCAATTCTGCCTTCCTACAATACAAATACAAACATTATTTTAGATTCTGGTCAAAGGAAAAAAAAAAATTTTTTAAAATAACATTTCTGGATGGATATAGTATTATATAGTATTATAAAATAATTAGAAATTTGATTAAATAAGAAGTTAAAGAATATTAAAAGTAATATACATAATAAAGAAATAATAGTTTTTTGATAATAGGTATTTATAATTTAAAATACAAGGGAAAAAGTTAAGTTAAGGAGAAATAAGATTATTGAGTTGTATCAGAATATTAGGGTGTTAAATAAATCCTTGGTTACCATGAAAATATGCAATATAAGTAAATAGATTAATAGATTACTAAACCTATACGGTTGGTTGGTTTTAATTCTTAGTATTTTATTACCGTACAGTCCATGAGAACCAGTTGCAATTGATCCTCTTTCAATGTAGCTAAACCATTCTTATGATAAGTATTCCACAAATTAGCTGCAATTATAGCTGTGATGCTTGAATCTCTATCACCATAACCACTAAAAGCCAATAAGCTTCCATCGTGTGTCAATAGCCTTAACCATAAAACCAAAAACAGCAATACAAAATATTATTATTATTTATTATAAGACTGCACTACCATTATTCAGTGATTAAAATATTTTATGTATTCCAGTTGAGTAATTCAAACATACAATATAAAATGTAATATTTTTAGTAAAATTAATCAATTGTATTAAATAAAGACAGTGTATATCAATTGACCAATTTGAAACAATCACTAGTTAATGTACAACTCATATAACTACCCTTTAATTCACATCTTTTTTGTTCATCAATCACTCAGTAGCTTGTGAACAAAATGTTATAGATAATATTATATAATTTTATTGAACACAACTAAATATTTATTGATAAAGTAAAACAGTCCACTATAATATTTATAAGTATATTTATTCGACCAAAAAAATTGATTTACATTGACATAATATCATGTTTGATTTATAGTTAAAACTGTGTTAAGTTTAATCTGCAAGTTTAAATATATTATTCATATTTAATAGATAATTATTCATATATATTTAATTCTAAATAATATAAATTACAACTTACATGGTGTTTTCAACACCGTTGCTATTAGCTTGACTTAAAACTTGGGACAACACTTTGGGTCTTAACATTTTTACTACAGTAAACTATACAAATTAAAAAGTTATTTTAGTATATAAACTAGTAGATGTGTGCGAGTGTTATTTACAATAATGAAGTGATATAAATTAATTAATTATTTAAATTTTTAACTTAATATCTTTTTTCTATAATTTAATTTGAGTATCGTAGTCCGTAGATTCGTAGCCATCGTAGGTAGTTCTTAGTTTTATTCATAGATAATACCATTGATTATACATGATAATACATTATCTATGGATAATAATATCTATTCTGTGGATATACCCCAGCGCATAATCAGTCAAAATGTACTGAGAACCAAAAGATCTAAAAACCATATGATCGAATCATTTAGATATTAGCCATAGACATATTAATTATTAATTTATTAATATTATGTCTATGATATTAGCACAGAATATCACAATATTAGCAGCTTAGATCATACATGTATGATCTAAGATTAGCAGGCTGTATACACTAGTACCATAGAAGTATAGAACAGTTGTACTGAAGTACATGTATTGTTGAGTGGTAGTACTATAGTACATGAAAAATATAAGATTATAATAATTGTTGCAAAACTGGAATTTTATATTTTCCTAATAAAACTTATATTATAATCTCACTAGTGTCTAGTACTCAACAAATTTTTGCCTGTCTTCAATGCGAGACGCGAGTACTGAGTTGTGCCTTAGATAATTAATCTAATGTCCCAGCGTTTACTAGTCCTGTTCCTCCAGCGGCTCCAGCCATCGTAAATCTCAATTTTGGAATTTTGAATTTTTGTCATTTTGACATTTTGTGCACACAGTTCAACAACTTCAACCCACTCATACTAGTCACATTAGCCCTTGCCATAGACTATAGAGTATGAGGTCCGCGCCATAGAAATTAAAATACATTTTTCATGTTTTTTCCAGTTTCCCGTTAAAGTCATAGACCAAGGTGGATATCATGACAAAATATATTTTATTTTATTCCAAATTGACTTCAGTCCCCCCTTGAAACCGATTGAAAAAATTTCGCTTTAGATTTTGTACACCGGTTTTTAATTTTTTCAACACCGGTAATAGGAAATTTTGGTTTTGATACCGGTTTCCAATTTTGTTTTTGATTTTGTTTTCGGTTTCAGTTTTTAAAAAAATGGTTTCAAGGCCTGGATTATTTATGTTCATTCTTAGTTACCTAATTAATTTTTTTGAATCGCTGGATCGAGCATTCAAATCGCCAGTCGTGTAAAGTAAACTTTCCAAAATGTCAAGATACAAAGATTTTCTAAACCAATACCGTTTTTTAAATTATTATTTCGGTTTCAGTTTTAACTATAATACCACTTTCCAATTTTTTTTCGGTTTTGGATTTCGGTTTTAAAACGGTTTGTACCAGTTTCATGCGCTACTTGAAAGGCAATATTATTTTAAATTAAACTTTATTTTATGACTATAAATTGTAATCACATGCTAAGCCCGAGCAGGAGTATTTAGTTTAATTTTTTTTATCTTTAATAAATTGCATTCATTTATTTACATTTTCAACGCCGCCCGAAATTTCAAAATAGACGGAAATAACAAAAACTAAAACCACTCATAAATTTAAATTTAGAGTTCATTGTCAATGGCCTATTTAAGTTTCCGTTTATTAAAAAAATACGATTAAATTATAGCTTATAGAAACGTTGAAAGTGTTAATAGCATTAATATCATAAATTATACCTTGTAGTTCGTAAGAAAGGCGGATGGACCATATTCACTCAGAATTGTTTTTTGTATACAATGATTTGTCATTGAATTCAAATTTCAAATCATTTTTAAATATTATTTTTCCTGATTATTTTAAAAAGTACCGAGAGAATTTTTGACCTCCCTTAAATATTAGCTAGATCCAATTTGCTACCAGAAACCACCCTCAATGTTGATCATCAAAATATTTTTCTAACCATAAAACATACATAAAAAAATAAATATATTTGGGTGTCAATACTGGTCGCCCCTTTCTGTTCGTATTAATTTTCAATTTATGACACAGTCACTTCCAAGTTCAAAGATATCTAATTTTCATATTATACTTTTGTGTAGATTGTAAATAAATGTTCTAATAAGTAAAAAAAAAAAGAAAGAAATAAGGATTAACCATTTTTGCATTTTCCCAAAATCGTAATTCATGTGTAATGATTTATTAGTGAATTAAAATTGAATACATCCATCCTAGTTACTTACACAACGCATATGTATAATTAAAACTTACTATGCAGCAGGTGTAAGTTTCTCAGTTTTTATTTTTAAATAAACAATAAAACATGTTTAATTAAAGAAACATATTCATAATTTATTTTGACAAAATTTAATTTACTTAAACTTAACTACTTTAAATAAATTATTTTGATTTGAACTTTTTTAATACTGGTTCACTGGTTTGTTCGTGGGACATTTCCATAAAGATTTTATTTTCTTTTGTCACCTTATATTGATTTGGACCTATGAACAAAGATGATTTTAACTTCAAATATATGAAATAATCATACAATTATTAATAATAATTAGTAATTACCTTTTTTCATGTAAGAAATAGTGGAATAAGGAGTAAAATGAAAGTCTTCCATTAAATATCCTTGTACAATAAGTTCACCAAGAATCATTTCAGCCCGTGTCCTTGAAAATACTGGAGACTGTACATCAAGAAGCAATACTTTTTTGTTACCTTTACCATACCAGGTGTCTAACAGCATTTGAGCTATAAAAAATAAACAATTAAGTTTCAAAAAATACACAAAACTTTTTTAGTTAATATTTAAAATACATACCAGTAAACTTTGTTTCATTTTCTACAGCCGCATTTAATATGCTATACACATCAAGGCAATATTTATTTATACAAATAGACTTCACAGTTTTAGGATTACAACAATTGTCACACATTGCATTACAATCATTTGATTCCCATGACTCATCAAAATGAGTTGATATTAATTTGCGCCTACATCTATATGTTAAAATGAAAAAAAAAGTAAATAAATCAACAAGATAGTCTAATAGACAGAGGTGCCAAAAGTTGGTTTCACATTTTTACCTATAGTATATGCCAGGGATGGCCAGCGAGAAGACTCGCAAGCCCCCCAATATATTAATATATACGGAAGAGCCGAAATGAAAAAAAATGGTCACATTTATATAATATTAATAATAAATAAGATAATATATCAAATGTAATAAAATGTATAGATTGTGAAATAATATAATAATGTACAATAATCAATAATGTCGGATTAAATTTAATAAATTTTGTTTTTATAAATACCATAAAAATCATGAAATACACATGGATATGTCTTCATAGTTCTGTACGACGTTGTCAGTGTATCATCGAAATATTAATAAAATAATTATCATGTCTAAAAACGCAAGTATAAAGAAGAACATAGAGAATTCAAATGACACTGTTAAGAAGAGTTCTTTTTTATAGAACGAAACACTAAACCATTTTGTCTCATCTGTCAATCCCAACTATCACAATTTAAGGTTAGTAACTTAAAACGCCAATATGAAACAAATCACAGTTTGTTTGATAACGAATTTCCTTTGAAATTCCTAAATTCTAATTTAATAAAATATTATACTTTTTCAAATACATAAATTCATAATTATCTTACGATAAGATGCGAGCCGCATAAGTCTATGACACGAGCCGCAATTTGGCCACCCCTGGTATATGCCATATCCATATGGATAGGATATCTATTCATATTGGTAAAAACTAAATTTGTGGAATTGTAAGGTGGTTATTTTACAATGGGAGTAGGATAGTAAATGTGGATTTTTAGTATATTATATTATATGTTTTTCAACTAAAGCACCTCTGGTAGCAGTTAAAAATGTTAAACTTACTCTTTTACATTTAAACAATATTTTATAATAGAGTACAAATTAGGTAACCCAGTTTGTGTTGTAAACACCATTGTGCTTAATTTAAACACATCACTTAACTTATAATATAATAAGCAAGTAGAAGGTTTCCCATCTCTTCCAGCGCGTCCACTTTCCTATATTAATAAATTGTAAGTGTATTCATAAAAATATTTAATTAATTGTTTTTAATTTTACCTAATGTAATTTAAAAAATGTGGTTTATTAAATATGGAGTTATGCATCATATTGTTAATTTATTAATGCTCTTACTTGGTAAAAATTTTCTATTGATTTTGATAGAGTATGATGAATAACAAACCTCACATTTGGTTTATCTATACCAAGACCAAATGCAATAGTAGCTACTACTGCTTGATATTCACCATTCAACCATTTCCTATGAACTTTTGATCTTAAAGGTCCTTCTAGTTGTGCATGATAAGAACCAACTTTACATCCATGTTCTCTAAGTAAGATACATTTAATATTAGTTTAGGTCTTAGAAGTATAGAAATTATATATTTTATTTTTATTATGTATTTAAAATGAATTTAGTTTCATAGCTGAAAATGTAAAATAAATAAATTTGATTATGACGTATAAATATATTACATTAAATCTTTTCGTAAGCTTTCACAATCTTTAATAGATGTGGTGTAAATAATTCCTGATTGATTTTTGAACTTGTTTTTAAGTAATGATGCTAATTCTTCAACACATTTTTTACCTTCAGGCTTCCATTTAACCTAATAAATAATTTAAATTATTAAAGAAAAATTAAAGAAAAATTAAAGAAAAATTATTAATATTATATACTTCGTAATATAGATTTGGTCTGTTAAATGATGCTTTTAGCAAAGCACATCCTTGTATTTGTAATAGTTTTTGTGTATCAACAATAACTTTTGAAGATGCAGTTGCGGTGAGACCCAAAATAGGGATATCGGGAAACATAGGTTTGAAAATTGTTAAATGCGTATAATCTATAACTCAATTAATATTAAATTCAAGATCACAAAAAAAAATAACTATAAACAAATACCAGGTCTGAAATCATGTCCCCATGTCGTACAACAATGTACCTCATCTATAGCTATTCTTGATAGATATTTCAAACTATGAGCTTTTTGTAATTTATTCATAAATGTTTTACTTTTAGCAATTCTTTCTGGGGTACAATATACAAGTTTTAAACCTGATTTAATGTCAGTCATCATCTAAAAATCAAAATATTTTTCTTTAAATATAAAGGTAAAGTAAGTTAACCTTAAGCGTTTTCCTGTGTATTAAGTGTCAGTAGGTATAATAATATATTATGTTAAACATTTAACCACAAATAATATTTTTAAATTACAGTGAATTGACTGAAACCATTATTCTTTGTTTAAGTTTCTAATTTTGTTCAAACTTCAATTTAAAATATCTATCAAATAAAAACTATTTCTATTTTTTTTTTTAGATTTTTTGGTAACACGATGAACTTAAAAGGAACCTTGTAATATACAGTCTGTCCCAGAAGTCCTGATACACCCTTGAAAATTCAGTATATTTAAATGCTTTTTTTTTAGTCATAAGTATGGAAATTCTGATTGAATAGCATAATAATCAATTAATTTTTCAAAAATTCAAAACATTTTTTTAGCAAATAAGTTTTTTAAAACAATTCAAAAAAATAAAACATAATTTAATGAAAATCGCCCAAGTTAGAGCCAATTATTATTTTTAATTTTAGCCGAAAAATCAGTGACTAATAATTAACATGCGAATCGTATTTTGCTAATGCCGTATGCATAGGTAACATAACTATTATTCTTAGAAAAAAAAAAATTGAATATTATGCTATTCAATCAGAATTTCCATACTAATTACTGTAAAAAAACTGCATTTAAATATATTGATTTTCCATGGAGATACTATGGATGATACAGGACTTCTGTGACATACTCGGGCCTTTTTCCCTATTATTAAGAAAAGTACTGAGAATTTCTACTTTTGACCAAAAAGTACTAGCTACACTCTATTCAAAATAAGACCGTGACCAGGCGGTCAGACATATGGCCAGATGCCGTCCCAGACGCATCGGGCACTGCCACGGAACAAAGCCACGTCCATGAGCCCAACTCGGCCGCCTGGTCACGGTCTTATTTTGAATAGAGTATAAATTCACTTTGCTTCCAAATTGAAGTACAATATTAAAACATTTTTCTTACTGATCCAAAAAGTGTGATGACAGAAAAAAAATTTTTTGAAAATAAATACAATGATCTCTTTACTCATAATCTAAAATATCAATAAATAATAATAATACCTGAAATAATATTTTTACATCTTCTTTTGATGAATAGGAACTTATCATTTTAGCATTAACATCAAGTTTTTGAATTTGGATTATCTGGTCTTCCATAAGTGACACCATAGGAGAGACCACAAGAGTAAAACCTTGTAAAACAATATCTTTATAGATAACATTTTAAATAAGCAAGAAAATATATAAATAATTAAGAGTTAATATTAAAACATTAATTACATATATAGGTATTATATAAAAAAAATATTAATTGAAGAATATCATTAATATTATATGGATCTAACAAATAACAATATAATATACATTATTAATTAATAATTATTTTATATTATATGAAGCATAATCATATTAGTTCAATATACAAGTTCAAAATGTTTTTGAATAAAATAAATAATATTTTTCTAGATAGACTGAGTAAATGTGTAAAAACAATTCTGAAGACTATGAGAACCACTCATAAAATGAATTAATATAAATTATAGTAGTTTAATAGATACCTTGATCTATAAGAGCAGGTAACTGAAAGCAAAGAGATTTTCCTCCACCAGTTGGCATAATAAGTATAGCATCATGTTTTGATAATGTAATATTAATAGCTGCTAACTGTTGTGAACGAAAACTGTCCAATTTGAAAACAGTTTTTAAGGTATCTTTCACTCTTTCATGCCAAGGAAAATCTACAAAGATTAAAATTATATAATGATAAAGAAATTATAACATTATTCATGGTAATATATCTACAAATTCGCTAGATTAAACCGGTGTGAAAAATAATGAACAGGGATGTTTGGAGTGTTTGGACCATATCGTTTACATGGTTCATTATTCCAGTGCGGGATAAGGTAGGATAATTTTAAACCGATATAGTTTAGCGAATTTGTAGTATCATTGGCATTTTGTTATGCTATATTCATAATACCTGTGTGGATCCATTTATTATGGTCACTGATAGAATTAGTTTGTTTTTGATAAGATAACTGTTTCAATTTTTCTTTCTGTTCTAATAATTCAGTTTTACGTTTTTGAAGTTTGATAACTTTTACGTTAATTTCCTTTAGTTCTTGTTCAATTTTTGATAGTTTATCTGAAGTTGAAAAATTTTTAAAATGTATAATAATATGCTCTAATGCTACCTATGTTAAAGTGTTGTGAAAATATTATATATTATTATATTATTGTTTAAATGTGCTTTAAAAGGAAAAAAATATGAAAAGGACACAATTGTATTACTCTACTCATGCATTTGTTGCCTCAGGCTTACACACTTAAGACATATCAAATTTTCATTCACTAGTTTCAGTAGTATGCTGTTATTTTTATATTAGAGTGAATTGACCTATTATAACATTTTTAGATAATAACATTATCTATGCTCAAGAATTGGCTTTTATTCAATATTTTAATTTTTAAGAGAGATATGAACATTTTTAATTTTTGATATTTCACATATACATATCTTACTTGAAAATAAAAATATTGAAAAATCACCAACGCTAAAGCACAGATAATATTCTTACCTATAAGTACGAAAATAGGTCATTTCACTCTAATATTAAAACTAACAACACACTATTGAAACTAGTGAACGGAAATTTGACATGTCGTATGTGTGTAAGACGGAGACAACGGATAGCGTCCTCTTAAGATCTGATTCCAAATACCAATTTAGACTAAAAATAGTTAAAAGAAAATTTTTAAAAATAAGAAATAAAATATTTCTGAAAAAGAAAAAGTACACTTTGTTTTTGTATGATTACTCAACAAAATTCAAGCATAATAAACACAAATTAATTTTGAAAAATAAAATTGTGAGAATAATGGCTTATATGGCTATTACCTTCTTCATCTACTTCCATTATTTAAGATTTACTTAAATAACTGTTAATTTATTAATTATAATTTACAAACATTAAATAATTAAAAGTATTCAACAGACAAACATAAAAAGTTTATAACGTATAGGCAATGAAACACTGAAGAGGAAAGAACTGCATATTGAAATTTGAAAATGATGAGCAGTTCTTTAGTATTTAGTTGTCTGTTTATATTGTAAAAAATTTGGAATTTAATATTTACCATGCTTACAACAAGCCCAACAAGGTCAATGTATGATACTAACTTCAATGATAACACAAAACAATAATAATGATAATAACAAATCAAAACTTATTGTCTTATTATGATTAATATTTATTAAATTAGAATTAGACATTTTTAATTTTGTTCTTCTCAACTCCAGTCTCCAGTAACTATTAATATTGTATTGTTAATATATATGCATTAATACTCAATAACTTGGAAGTTATCAAAAATCAGCATGATTTGTAGTAAATATTTTTCAAATTTCTTAGTGAAACAAAATTATACTTCATCTAAACTGTATGTAAGTTTATGTTTTTGGTGTACAACTATAATATAATTATTATTATGAAAGCTTTACAATATATTCAGGATAAATATATTGTATTTAACAATAGGAATTTATTTTTAAAAAATTGGTCATGTACACTTTTTGAAATACAGTTATAAGTGAGAAATTACTATTGCGCAATATAAGCTAATAATTATTATTTAGTTTTTTAAAAAAATTGTTCATTGTAAAAGTGAATCAGTTTTATAATTTTTCTAAATTAAAACATTCACTAAAGTTATTGCCAAAATCTGATTAAAACACTGTATTATTTTATGAATTATGAACATTTATTTGAACCATGTTTTTATTGTTTAGAAAACTAGTTTGACTAGAAATTCTAGTATGACAGCTAAATCAGTTGAATTAAATTCATTTAGTAGAAGGAAAAAGAGTAACACAGATATTGGATGGATTTTACTAGTAAGATTAAAACTTTTCACTTATAATTTATTTTTGTTAAATGAAAAATATGCTTTGTATTCAAGGTACTACCAATTTCTGCATTTGGACTGGGTACATGGCAAGTCAGACGAAAAATATGGAAAGAAAGTTTGATTCAAGAACTCAAAACTAAAACTAAATGTCCTGCATTGGACTTTCCCGAAAAGTTAGAATCTTTTCCTTATTTTATTATGGTCAAATATATCTAAAGTTACTAAATTTTTATAGCGAAGAAGAACTTAAAACCCTTGAATATCGTAGAATAAAAGTAGTAGGTGAATTTGATCATTCAAAGGAACTGTACTTAGGTCCTAGATCCTGTTTAACTGATGGTGGAGCTGAGAATAGCAATGGATTGTTTTCTGGTTCTACAAAAAGTGGTTATTATGTCATCACACCTTTTAAACTGTCTAACAAACCGTAAGAAATGTTTTCATTCTTTTAGTTTCACTTATGTACTAATAGTTACTGTCTTAAGTTATACAATTTTAGTGAACCGTGGTTGGGTTTCTATGAAAAATAAAAACCCTGCATCCCGAATTTCTGGCCAAGTTGCTGGTGAAGTTGAATTAGAGGGTGTCGTTCGGTTAACTGAACCTAGACCTCAATTTGTATCCAAGAATGTAGCAGACTCTCGTTTCTGGGCATATAGGTATATTATTTATATGATATTTAAATTTGATTGGAATAATATGTTTAAAATATTGAAAAAGAAAAGTTCATTGAACTAAATGTATAGATCAATAATTTAGTACTGGTTTGTTATTATAGAGATTTAGAGGCAATGTCAAAATTAGTTGATAGTGAACCTATTATGATTGATGCTGTGGTTGAATGTAGTATTCCTGGAGGTCCGATTGGCGGTCAAACAAATATTTCATTGAGAAACGAACATGTCTCTTACATTATTACCTGGTAAGATACATAATTTTCCATATTATTTCACATTTTAAAATCCATCTTAAATAGTTATCTTGATTTGGCTAGAATCAAACTTTTTTAGGGGGTACCTGGTGGAAGTGTAACAAGTTATTTGGGTACATTTTTTAAATCCAAAACCAATCTTACAGTAATGTATAATATATATTTATTGTAAATTTATACTTCATGAAAGTAAAATAATTTTTAGATTCTGAGGTCTGAGCGGAGCAATGAATTTATTGATTGTACAAAGATATTTTTTTTTATTTTTTGGTGTGTGTTTGTGTTTACACAATAAGTAGTTGAAATAATGCTTCGATATTCAATTTCAGTATCTTTTCTGGTAGGAAACTTACAATAACCAAGTAGCATACAAAAGCATACTGAAAAAAAAAAATAGGAAAACAAGAATTTTTATACAAAATCAGTTTTTGACAAAATCGATATTTAAGTAGCTAAAAATATAAAAAATAAATAACCGTTGATTTGATAAACAATCATTTTCTAAAGACCATAACATTTTCAAACAATTTCGACTTGAGCTATTTATAGATATTTTTTAAATGTAAAAGGGTCAAATAGCTTGATAATTTAATACAAGGGTCTCGTAAGTTTTTTTAATAGCAGTTCAAAGAAATACTAATGATACATAGGCACAATTTTCTATAAGCATTAAAATTAAAATGTTGACAAAATTCATCAAAATCTCAACAATTTGCATTTTTTTTTTATTATTATCCTTAAGTCCGGCATCTATGGCCATTAACTGTTGTAGGGTTGCATTGTGGTGGTGGTAGGGTTTGGAACGGTGAGTTTTTACATGTGAGCGTTTGAATTTAGCATAATTTTTAAGTGGGCAATATATGCAATGAAATTTTCAAAATATTTATATTAATTTTAACACTTTAAAGCTATTTTTTATTTATACCATAGATATGTTCACACTGTTATACAGTAGGCTGGTATTGCTCATAAGTTAATAACTACCTACAATAAAATATCATAGAAATATTGACTATTATAATAATTAATATAATAAATACAATGTTTTTGGCCTAAATTAAATTATCCTTCCGTCATATTGCTCATACTAATAGTAAAATAATTTGCTTTAATAGCAATATCAAAAAACACCATCATGTGACATTCTTGACATCAGTGGCGCCCAACGCCCAAGATATATTTTTCAGGTGTAGCGAGAAAACATTTTACCCACCCCTCACAAACTCAATATTATTTTTTATATTTTATCATATTTGTATTGATAATATTAGTAAACATTAAGGTATCAACCAATATAATCTGCGATTAATTATGAACATACTTCAAGTTTATTATTTTATGTTTGTTACCACCCACCCTTTATTTTCAAGGTATAGCGACCGCTACACCTAGTAATAGGGTTGGGCGCCACTACTTGACATAGGCTGACAAACTATCCTCGCTAAGGACCATTTTTCGTTTGCAATGAATAAGGATATATTATTGAACTCAAATTTAAGACATCCATTACAATGACCCAGTTGACACCTACGACCTACTCAGTGGCGCCGATCTATATGTCATGTTATGGAAAAAAAAAGCTGTTGTTGCCCTCCCCCCTAAAAGAAAAACGTTAAGCTACTCTCAAATTGTTCCCCAGTTTATACCTGTATTCGGCACCACTAGACCTACTGTTCAGCAGAGGCCTAGAGAGGTACTCACTTGTGCATCTTTTCTTTTTTTTAATTTTATAAACCTGAGTAATTTTTGTGCTAACATTTGTTTTTTCGACATGTGGCCATCATAATTTTTTTTTAATTTTTTATTTTACTATAGATACCCTTAAGTCTTGGCTACTTTTTATATTCCCAGTAGAGAAGTTTGGATTTCATTCAGTTTTTCTGTTTAATTATCTTCTATAGTTCTATATATTCTGTCTCAAAGTAGAAAACCTCGGTTCTGTGCACTTTTTTCCCCTTCCACCAGTCACTGCCTACGCTATTATGTGGGATATGCGCGCCTCCGTACGGAAACAGGTCGATGCCTGGTGTATTCTACTTTGAGACAGGGTATAAATATAGTTGAAGAAATTAAAATATTCATTCTTAATTTTTCAATATTTATGTGTAATAAAATATATTGTTTTATCAATTATTACAGGTATGGTTTAGCAATTGCAACAGGATACATGTGGTATGCAAAATATTCACATGCATTAAGATCAATTATTAAATAAATACTATTAACTTATGTATTCCAGTCAAAATATATATACTAAAAATTATAAGTATTATTCATCAACAAATTGTTTTACATTTCATATTTTATTATAGTCAAAATAAGAACAATAGATTTTGAAAAACTAAACTTTATTATGCTTAACTACCTATTAGAATAATATTTTGTTTTGCAGATTATTTAAAAAAAAAATATTCTTCAAATATTAAATGTACTAAACATTTGTATTATCTAATCTAACTATTTTATACTATGTCTTATTTAAACTAATATGGCTTAGAATTATATAAATATAAAATGTATGATACTATTAGAATATTAGTCCTAATTTCCAATTCTTAAATTAACTATATTATATGAAAAATGCTCATAATAAAAGCGTAATCTAAGAATGATAAAACTATATTACTAAAATAATAATACAACAAATAATAGTAGCTCTCATCTATATAATTAATTATTTGTAAACATATGATAGATAGTACAGATAACTATAGTTACCAGTATAGATAGCAATACCATTAACAGACAAGTATAATTATTCAAATTATAATGTTCTTAAAGAAGAAAAACAATCCAAAATGAAGACAAAAAATTATTTTTATAATATACATAACCTGTAATACTTAATAACTAAACATACATTAATTTCGTTTTGGCATTGGAACACTTGCTCGTTGATCTTCCATACGACCCGATTGAAGGCGCATAATTAATGTAAAAAAGTCTTCATCAGGTACAGTTGGTCCTCGGTTTGGTGTACGTTGTGACTCTCCATCACTGCTAATGTTGGACACAGGAAGCTCACTGCGTTGATCTTCTAACCGTTCACCTTGACATCGCATAAGAAGTTCTAAGAAGTTATCATCAGGTTCACTATCTGGTTTTGCAATGCCAGGAAGTTGTTCCAATTCTACTCGTTGTTCATCCATACGCTTACTCTGCATACCTGCTATCATGTCCAACAAATCATCTTGACTTTCAACATGTCCACCTAAAATAAATAATTGATTGTTATTATTAGTTTATTTACGCCAAACGGCAGTTTAACATTGATACAAAATTACAAAAAAATACAAATGAGTAATGGTATGATAAGAAGTAACATATTATAGGAAATTATAAAATATATAATATATACAATAGTTACTATTAGTAAGTACAAAAATAAAAATATATAGTATTGATAGAAGACAATTTAAAAGTGAGGGATGCGGCTAAGTAATTAAACTGAATTTGCAGCTCTAAGCATTCAATGTAGTATGTGGTAATAGGACTGGGTTTTAGATGAATTGTTTGGGATACTGAATGGTATAGATCAAGTGAGCCATTTAATAGGGCAGATAGGAACTTTTAGTCCGCATTCTCACAGTGAAAGGATATTGTTTGAAAAATTAGAACCTGCCTTATATTGGTATAGTCTTGAGGTATACGATGAATACTAAAGCCATGTATAACATGTATTAAAGAATAATTAGATGATAGTTAACATATTATGACACCAGGAAAAGGTAAATTAATAAAATACTGACCAATTTGGGCAATTAATTTGTTCGCATTTTGATTTTCTTTATCTTCTAAATTTCTTGAGGAACCAAGAGTACAACGTTGATCATCCATGCGTCCAGCTTGGAATCGTGACAACAAATCAAAGAATGGATCATCTTCAGTTTTTTCAGACTATTTAAACCAATAAAACAGATATTAATAAACATAATAAATGAGAAGAATACATTGTGATATACCTTTTTGGAAACTGATGAAGTAGATTGATAAATCTTGTCGTTAGAGCTGGGTAATTTACTTTTGTTGTCTGGAGTCAACTAGAATTATTAATAAATATTATTTCAAATCCAATTTTTGATTATCAACCAAACTTAAAATAAAAGCAGTTTTATTTGCAAGCTTTAAACTACTTATTTACTTGAAATAACATCACTGTATGCCAAAATGAGTTAACTGAATACCGTAAAAATGATTAATGCATTATGATTTAAGTTACATAAAATATAATGACAAACAAAAACTAGACACACATAAACATGCACACGCTACCTTAAGTAAATCAAGCTGTTCCATGCTCTGACGCCTCACCCGATAACGTCGTAGTTGAGGTGAAGGCTGTGTGTTAGAAATGGTATCCAACAATTCTTTACTGTCTGGTGAAAGTTGTCCATTTGACATACCCAAAGATTTTTTGATATCAACTATATTTATCTGTGCAGTTGCTTGACCAACTGTATCACCAATCTAAATAGAAATTTAAAAATTGTTATAAAATTGTAACATCTACAATAGTATGTAATTAGTATTTACTTCTTTTGATATTTCCAAGTGTTTAGAAGCAAAATATAATGCTTTTTCGTGATTTCCTAAAGCTAGATTTACGTTTCCTAAACTCCAGCAAGCTCTTCCTATAATTCAGATAAAACTAAATTCAATATTTAATTTATACAATAACCTGAACACATTTTTTAATACATTGTTAAGTTTGATTTAATTTAACATTGAAATAAAATAGAATTTAATAAAACTGAACTCTGTCCCGTATAGAAGAGTAACTTTGTATGGCCACCCAATTTTAGTCCGGTTTGGTCAGACCATACCCTTAGATAAACCAGTATTTGTCATCAGTTTTTGTTTCTGAAGATCGGTCATTGGCAAAAATTGATTTACCGTAATAATCTATGCAAAATTCAAGCTAATTTTTTATAGAACGCTGTTGGATAATAAATTGATGCTTTCAAGAGATTCCAACAATTTCTAGTTTCAAATATGACTAATGACTAAGGTATGATACATATTTTTTTTCTTATTTTAACACATTGTTAACAATAATTTACCTTCGCCAATCCTATCATGTAATTTTTGAGCTATGTCTAAATGTCTTAAATGATAATCAACTGCTGTATTATAATCTCTCAATAATGTATAAGTATTTCCAAGACTATAACACGCTTGAGCTTCAACTGCTCTATCTTCCAATTCTTGAGCCAGGATCAATGTTCTCCTAGTTTAATATGAAAATTACTATTTATCTTATTTATGGTTATTTTAATATATATATATTTTTTTTAATTTTACTTATAATGATCTGCTGCTTCTTCAAATTCACCAAGAAAAACATGAGAATTTCCTAAATTGCTATTAGCTCTGCGCTCAGCTGATTTGTCACCAAATTCTCGAGCAATTTTCAATCTCTAAACATAGCAAACATTTAGATTGTGATATTATACATAAATAACTTTAAAAAACATTACCTCTTCGTGATATTGAATGGCTTCCTTAAAGTTACCCAACAGATAATAGGTATTTCCTAAATTACCACAAGCTCGACCAACAGCTGCACGATCATTGAGCTCTTTCATTAGTTTTAAATTTTCTCTGCAAAAATTATTCACAGTAATATTATATATTATTCATTACCAATAAGCTTTTAGTCTTTCAATGAAAGATTAGACACAATTTTTAAACAAAATAAGGAACTTATAATTTATTGTGACTACTTATAAGATTTTCTGTAAGCATTATTTTGTTATTGTGAGTACAGGTTAACACTGAGTTATATTATTTTAAGATAATTTTTGTAATCTATAAGACAAAATTATATAATAAGTGTGAAGTATATAAACACAATTCAATGAAACATGCATAGGTACCTACTTACTTTTTATTTACAAGATATAACATGAGTCATTACATTTTCAAAATATATATTTACATAATTTGGATTAGTGACAAACATACTCGTTTCTTTGATGGTCGATAGTCCATGGAAAAGTCACAAACATTTTTTTTCATGGTAAATCCCAGTTGTTTTAGATGAAAATGAGCTTTACAGGCTCAGAGGCTCTATGCTTTACGCTTCTAGTTTAGTTGGGCAGACTTAATTCTATTATATTGTCTTGTAGATTACAAAATTGCTTTAAAGTAATATATGTATAATGTAGTGTTAACCTATGTTAATTGTAATAACTGATAAGTAACAGATATAATATAAATATATTACTTACTCATAATATTTAACAGCTTGTTCTATGCAAACTTTTACTTCTTCTGGAAACTCTCCTGGATCTTGCTGACCTACTCTTCCTATATGTTTACCCTTAGCATGATACACATTTCCCAAATTGTATAAGGCTCGTCCTTCACTCAACTATTAAAAGAATTAAAACCATTATATAATTTAACAAAAAAAAATTACTTAGAACATTTAATTAGAAGTGTATAAATGAAATTGATACTGACTTTATCTCCTAATTCTCTAGCAATTTCTAAATGACGTTTACAACAAATCATAGCTTCATCAAAATTGCCCATTACTTTCAAAGTATTTCCCAAGTTTCCACTAGATTTAGCTTCACCTGGTTTATCTCCCAGTGTTCTACATATAGCATAAAAAACAAGTAATATAAAACTGCTTTATTGTGATTTTTTAATGTATTAATAAAAATTTAAAATTTAAATTTGGCAACAAATCCAACAATAAGGAAATTATTTTATTTTTATTATATTCTTATTAAGACCAGTAAATAATTATACAATATAAATACCTTGCTAAAGCCAAATCAAGCTTATGAAAGTGCAATGCTTTTGGATAATCCGCTAAATAAAAATAAGCATTGCCTAATTGACTGTATATGGCACTAAGAGTACGTAAGTCATTAGTTCCTGCTTGAACAGCTGCTTGGAAGAATGCAACCCCTGAACGACAGTCTCCTGCTTTGCAAAGTCTTTCACCTTCCAAAGCCAATTCCAAACACATGTTACCAGCATCTCTAGGGTTCTATAACAGTACGAATGTTGTTAAATAAAATAACAATTGTTGTTGATTAGTTTGATTTAATATATTTTAGTCATATATTAATTATATAGATATGTAGCCCTGGTTAAGTGTACCAAATACTAAGTCCACTTAATAGATTTATTTTCAAATTATTGTTCATAAAACTAAAATCGTAAGAACTATTAACTCACATTTTTCTGAGTACCTATATATAATAGTTTGGATGAAATATGATTGTATATATGATTGTATTAAAATTATATTATGTTGTAGTAAATATACATTATAACACTAAACTGTAGTTATATTGTACGTTTAGTCAATAAAATATTTACTAACTGAGTGAGTTCAAAGTTTTTATTTACAATAATGTTTATTTGACATAAATTATACATAATATTTAAAATAATTTATAATTATATAGCCATTCACTTGTCTTACTTGATCTTCTGAATTGTCAGACATCATGAGTTGTAGATAGAATCACAATACTATATCGTTCACAATACTTTCAAAATACAATAAATAAACATTTCATGACAATTGAAAATAAAATGAATAATTACAAATTTAAATTTAATCTCCACAGTAACACACACAAGATTCAAATATAAATATAATATATATACCAAATGTATTAATAAAATATGTCTACAATTAATATTTTTAATGTTATTAATTAATAATTATACATATTACATTTAATATTATTCCATAGAATTTGAAAGAAGAAGTAAACATTAATTTTTAACCAATTATATTAAAACGATAACAACTCATTGATAATATCAACAAAACGGTAAGGATCTAAACAAAAAAATGGATGAACTGAATCAGTGATGAAGACACCATAGTGTTCGTAACATGAAAAATTTCTCACTGCCCATGACGTCATTATGATATATTTTATCATTGTTATCATTTACCCCAATAACAGATGAGATAATATCTGAAAACCATAGACATAATAGACATTCTATTATGTCTATGCTGAAAACAGATTTTTATATAAAATTACCTGAGTGGCTGTGTATCTAAAACCATAGCCCTATTAACTAATAGGTCTATGTCACACACTATGACATATGGTAGAACAATTTTAAAAATGGCATTGTGTATAGATAGTAGTAATGATCTACGTAATGGCAAACAATTTAAAGTTTCTAAAAATAATATTTTTTTTGAATTACATCAAAATAAGTAGGTATATTTTAATAAACTAATAAGTTATAACTAAATCACTGATATTTGTTTCAATTTTCAATATTCAATTTTATTTGAAATTTGAAATTCAAATGTTTTTTAAAAAAGTCGTTCTTATCATTGGCGTACGCAGGGTGGCACTGGCCATAGGCCATTGGCCAAATCCTCCCTCCTTATTGACGTATTATTATAACTTAAAAATATTTATTAAATTTCAACTGTCGTCAACTAGTAAGCAATATAAATGGTAAATTAATATATCAGAATAAATTCATTTTTGCAAAAACATTGTATTACATACCAATTTTCCTAAAATTAACAGTAATTTTTTGGTAAAATTATATACTTGTATTCAATTTTCAAGCCTTTGCCATGCAAAATTTAATATTTTATACATTTTGAACCACAAATTAATTGTGGTTTTGTCAAAATTTGAACTTCAAATGCTTATAATCGTGCATTCATGTCTGTATGTATCGTTAATATTTTTAAATAAATAGATGACAACATATGACGAACCTTGTATTACATTTTTAAGCTTTTAGACCAAACGAATGATTTTTTATTGAAATTTTCAGAAAAAACTAAAATCAATCAAATTAAATCCAAGCGTAGACAGTCTAACCAAGGTTACCAAACAATATTAACAAATTTTCATTTATTTTTGTTTTTTCCGATTATTTTAAAAAATAATGAAAATTTTCAATTTTGACCTCTCAATTTACTTCTAAAAACCTCCATCGAAGTTGCTAGAAAAGTTGAGAAGTTGAAGTTGTACAAACATTTTCAAATTTCCCACCTAAACATCTACATTTATTAGATGAGACAAAATAAAAATAAAATTGTACCTAATTCATTTTCACTATGGAAAATTCAGAGTACGCTACTGGTTCTCAAGTATTTTCAATATTTAATAATGGCAATAAGAAAACATGTATACAATTTTCAAGTTTTTTAAATTAGCATACGATTTTCTGTTTATAAAAAACAATTCAAATTTAAAATGACTACCTATATTCAATTACTATCTATATCTTAATATGTGTGGCATGAAATTAGAATAGACTAAATACTTTACAATTTCATTGAGCTAGAAAATGATACCTAATTAAAGTATTAATAAGTAGTGATGGGTTAAAATATCGATATTAAATCCTATATCGGGAATTATTGTAACAAGTTTATCTTCAATTAGTAATGTTAAGGGGCCTCGCAATGGCATTGATTTAAGGAGAATCATTTAGGAAATTTCTAATCTCGTCGTCACCACCCGAGATCTATGCGTTAGTCGTAAATGATTATTATAGTGTGTGTGGGGTCCATAGACAAGAATACTAAATCTCGCACGCACTCGCACACACATGTCAATCCATAATATTGTGATCGTGAAAAAATGTTTATTTTTCACTCAAACATACGATTCTAATTCCAACATTACGTCTCAACGATTACCTCGATTTTCATTCTGACAAAATATTCTTATTTTCCACAGCATGTACGAGGGATCGATCGAGGCACATTTTTAAAATTGTATTTAGTTAATTAAATATTGAAGTTGGAAATTCTGTACTTTTTTTAAATTTTTCACAATTTTTATTGCAATTTAAATTAGGTACAAAAATTAAAAATGTGGCTCGATTGTTCCCTTGTATATATTACGGACAATCAGAATATTTTTTCAGAATGAAAATCGTTATAATTGTCGACACGTATCGTTGGAATTAGAAACAGTAATTTTTTACAAAAAAAAGAAGTGGTAGTAAGGCCCCTTAAGGCGTAAAGCAAATTTATGAACTTATAAATAATCATAATCATTCATTAGGTATTAATTAAATATTTATATTTATTATTTTATTATAGTTTTTAATTTTAATAAGTACCAACTAGTTTCATAGATCACGATTCACGGCAAAGGTGAGCATAGTTTTATCATAAGAGTTAGACAAATGGCACTGTTACTGTTCAGTGTTCCGACTTTCCGAGGACATCTTTAATAGCTTTATTAGAGCCCGATCCCACAGCGGCACGGCGGTTATAAAATAATGAGGTGGTTACCCTGTGACCACGGACTAAGATACAAGTATACAATTTCAGCCTTCACTCTTCAGGTGGTGTTGCATAATGCATATATAGATTTCTATATAGTGCATAATAATAGGTAAGTAAATGGTAGTATAGCACTCTGCCCTTTGGGCTGTGGTTGCATTACTTGCATTACTTACTTTGCATAATATATTTTTCATTTTTTTGTACGAGCGTAGCGCAGCGAGCGAGTGTCAACGCGGGCATCACTGTAAATAATTTACAATTTTTTTTTCTATACCGTGTTCGTGGTATAAAAATCCTTATCATTTTTCACTAATTTGGAATATGATATATTTTGATATGTTCTCTACATCATGATTGGCCCCAATTCGTATCTTTAATCATGCACAGTACATTTCCATATAATTGCCACAGAACAATATTGCCTATGATTCATAGATAATAATATTATATCAATTATTATTACTTGATATAGTGCTATGATTGCCTATGAATATTCAATTAAAATAGTTTTCACCATGATAATTAATATCATATTGAATAATAATCAATAAAATTACAAATTAAAATAGTATTTAAATTGAACACTAAGAAATTGTCATCTTTTAATTAAAAATAATTATTTTATGATAGTTACAACAAATAAAAAATCAATATTATAATTTTTAAGAATTCACTGTATTTAAATTTAAAATGTTGAAAAAAAGTATGGTTTTAAATTACCAAGTACACCGACGTATGTCTGATTTTGTAACCCAATATAATGAAAATTATATACCAACCACACCGCTCCAAAAGTTATTATTATCAATCGGTTCTGCAACTGTTTCATTGTTAGATCCTCGAAGAGCAGGTAATAATAGGTACTTACAATTGGAAAACAACAAAATTGTATAATATATTTATTGACATTTTTTTTTAAACTGTATACTGCATTTTAGATATGATTGCCACTATGGGAGAAACTACTGGAACATCTGCTTTGAAATATATGAGAGATAAAATGATTAATAATCCTGAAGGCAACGAAATATTACAGTATATAGTATAAAATGCTTGAAATTATCTGCATATTTCTATTCTAAGACATATTGATTTTAATTGCATGAAATACTTTTTTAAAGGTTACAACCACAAATTAACACTTCAACAGTTGATCTTGGAAAATTAAAACATATGCCAGAAAATACTCTCGGATATGCTTACTTTAAATTTTTGGATCATAATGTAAGTAAAAATATTTTAAGTTTTTAAAATTAAATCAATGAAATGCAAAGCCAAAAATGTTTCATTATTATCTAGAAAGTAACACCAGATTCCCGAGGATCAGTACAATTCATTGATGACATTCAATTAGCATATGTGATGCAGCGATACAGAGAAGTACATGATTTATTTCATACAGTGTTGGGAATGCCTACAAATATGTTAGGTAATATGTTGTTTTCTAATTTATTAAATACTAGCTGAACCCGTGTATTTTACCGTTCATTGCCCCTTTTAAAAATGCCAGCTCTATATGATTCAAACTTTGTTCAATTCGCTTATTTTATATCCGGTGTTTGATGACTAAAATTTCAAAATGTTCAACAATTATCTTGAATCTCAAAATACTTGTGCAAGCATCACTTTAAAATATGAATTTTGGAAGATGCTAACCTAGTGCACACTTACATAGTGGTGCGAAAGTACCATGAAAATTGTAGGCCTCGAGTTATCATTATTTAGGATCTATGTTGATCAGTCAGTGATTCAGTCAGCACACTTTCTATTTCAATTGCAGATCCAACGAGGTACGTTCTTAATTAAGAATGTTTTATAAACAAATTGTATATGATGTGGATGTGGATGTGTAGGTAGTAGGTTCCTGGGACACCGGTCAAAAAATTAGCCTTTGAAATATCATTATTACTAAGTTATATCGTTTTTACTTAGTTATCGACCTAACAGACCTAAGGTATAATATAGATACAGAGCTAAAATTATATTCAATCATAACAAATGTGAACCTAACAATAAATAAAAATATATTATTAGATATTTAGTTTATTTTTTTGCTGGACAGTTGTAATTTTCCATCCAGTTTTCAACTTTACGTGTTGGATTTTCATAAAAAAATTTCTTACAAACCTTGTCCTGATAATTGGGAAAAAATCAGTCAAATCGGTTGAGCAAAAGTAACAAAATAATAGTATAGCACATGGCAATACTATGTAAAGACTAAAGTATGCAACTAAAGCAGGGGTCAGTAACCTTTTAAAGCATGCAGGCCATATTTTTTTTCAATTTTTCATCAAGGGCCGCATTAATAAAAAAAAAACTGTACATATGATATAATACTTATAATTTAGTAGTCGACGATATATACATTGTATACAATTAAATTACGACCTAGATTACGTTCTCCCTCATACCTTATCTCACTCTAATAGTCATGATTTGATTTTATTTATTACAATTTAAGATATAAAATTAAAATCTTAAACACCATGAAAATATTTGGAGGACCACAGAAAAAAGTTCCGAAGGCCGCATGTGGCCCTCTGGTTGCCGGTGCCTGCCCTAAAATATAAAAAGACTACGTCTGTCCATAGAGTATATGAATACTATGTCTGTCCGTAGAGTTTAATATAAATTCAATGTTTATAATATTAGTGTAACTGTATTGAGTTTAAATCTCAGATTTCATTACAATTTTTTGACTTATTCCACCGATTTTTATATATGTGTTGCCGCTGTCAGCTCTTATTAATATGAAATAAGTTGTGCCTTCACGACTGAATCATATATATATATGCTTGTAGAATATAAAATAAAAAAAAACAATGTGTGTTGGCAGTTCTGTAATTTTTTATTGAGCAATGATAATAATAATTTGTTTTTCTTGTAATTAAATAAATAAAATAATAAATTGCCAGGCAGGTTTCTAATAATTAAGTATGATATAAATATAATATGTAGCCTCTTGGCTTTTAACAATAATACAATAATTCAAATACAAATAATAATAATACAAAGTTTCTGACTAGAATATGAATGACTAATATAATAAATAATAATATGCAGCTCGTCAGCTGATTACCTTTAGAACTCAGACGAATAAATCACAGTGTACATGCAAATCACAAATGGCAAAAATTCACGTGCTTCTGTAAGTATCTCTTTGAACGCCCTGAATTGGGGAATAATATTAATGAATGAACTAAAACAAATGACTGAACGATACTTACAGAAGGCAATTCACAGATGATGTACACAAAATGATTAACTGAATGATGATTGATGAATGTATTGTATAGAATGAAATTGAATGTCTATGACTCTATGAATTCTATTTTAAAAAATGAATTAAAATACTGACGACTGATTGTGAAAACACCGAACAACCGTGCACCTCGGAGGTCGTGTGAAAAAGGGACGAGTTTTACATTAACGGACATACAAAATGCAACGAGAACTGTACGAATGGGCTTTCAGTGTCACCACACTAAAACAATTAAACATGAAAAAACTAATAACTTTGTGACACTGAAAGCATGACTTGACGAGAAAAAACTTTGAACGAATAATATGACTTTTGAAAACATAAATTGATAACGGTCACGCAGCTGGCCGTTCGCACACGGAAACATGATAAGAATTTATTTGATTACGGCTGCAGCTGCGGACCGCACCGTTGCATGCACATGAAGAAAAAATGATGACAGAAAACAAAATGAAAATGACAATCTTAAACATGAACATACTCCCCCCTTTGAAAGTACCTATCTTTCAAAATTTACATATCATATACTAAACAAATTAAATAATCGGAAGCTGACAGAGGAGTATGCATTCTTTAAACATGAATCTTGAATAATACTAATATGACTAATGAAAAATAACTCATCTTTAAGAGATGTGGCTAACACAGCCCAACTAAATAATAACAACATAATTTATAAAATAGTAACAATAATAATGAAAAACATTTTTTTTTAAATCCCTAATCTTCATCATCGTGATCCTTTTCGGTGGGTAGTAGGGATAACTTGATTGCTGGACGTCGAAATTCAGACCCAGTGGAATTTCGCACGGTCACTGCCCTAACAACACCATCAGCCCCAGGATGAACTGCTGCTACGCGGACTAATGGCCATTTAAGGGGTGGCATGTTGTCGTCACGCAAGACCGCAAGATCACCAACACAAAAATTTCGATTCGGCTTGGTCCATTTACCTCTTCGGTGGAGTTGAGGCAAATATTCTTGTGACCACCGCTTCCAGAAGAGCTGCATTGAAGTCGTTGGGATCTAATGAAAGTGGAGATAGAGGCCGAGAGTTTAATGCAGCTTCAATTTGACATAGTAAAGTTCTGGTTTCATCAAATGTTAGCAACACTCCCTTTGACACTCGGAGAAGATGCTTTTTAGCTGACTTGACTGCACTCTCCCACAACCCTCCAAAGTGTGGGGAAGCAGGTGGTATAAAGTGCCACTTAATTTCTCGCATAGTAAGAAAATCATGTACTTTATTGCTGTTTACAGTTGCCTTGAAATATGTTTTGAGTGTACGGTCTGCACCTACAAAGTTTGTGCCGTTGTCGCTGTGAAGGTCCGTACATTGACCTCTCCGTGACATAAAACGAGATAGTGCAGCCAAAAAATCTTCAGTAGACAGTGATGACACTAATTCTAAATGGATGGCACGAGTAACCATGCAGATAAACACACAAATATAACTTTTTGTCGGTGATACCTTTCTCAGCCCACTGCGAACGAATATTGGGCCACACAGATCTACTCCACTATTGGCAAATGGTCGAGCAATAGTAACGCGTACGCTGGGCAGAGGCGCCATTAATGGTGGAGTAAATTGAGGGCTCGCTCGGAAACAGGTTACACATTTTCGGACGATTTGTGCTGCAATCTGTCTTCTCCGGATTGGCCAATAGTTCAGTGTTACGTGGGCGAGCAATGCCTGTGGTCCTGCATGCATGAGCCGAATATGCTCATAATTAAAAATTAGCTTGGTAATCAATGATTTTGACGGTAGAACAATAGGATGCTTTGTATTGTATTGGCCAGGAGCATAAGCAAGCCGTCCTCCTACTCTGACCAATCCCTGATCGTCAATGAATGGGTTTAAGGCTTTTAAACAACTTCCACGATGGACCATCTTACCAGAACGCAAATCTGCTATTTCGTTTGACATTGACTCAGACTGAGCTTGCATTAACCAAAAACTTCTGGCTTTATTCATTTCATCCACAGAAATGAACCCATTGCACCGCTCATGGTTTAACTGTTTGGCTTTGCAATTAGAAACAAAACGTTGAACTAAAGCTGTTGTTCTTAACAATTTGGACCACGTAGAATACTTCTTCAACAGCCAGAAAGGTTCTTTATTCGTGGTTGCTAAGATTAATTTGACTTTGCGTATCTCAGGTATCTCCGATGGCAAAATTGGTGTGTCAGGCCAACAGGACCTTTCCTTCTTGAGCCACTTTGGCCCTTGCCACCATAACTCGGATGAGACCATAGTCCCAACATCAACTCCTCTGGATATGAGGTCTGCAGGATTATCAGCTGTGGGTGTGTGATGCCATTGAATTTCACATGAGAGCTCATTGATTTGGGCAACTCTGTTGGCAACATAAACTTGAAGTGGTTTTAGACTATTTAACCATGCAAGAACAATAGTTGAATCTGTCCACAGGTGTATGTTTTCTGTAGACAATTTAATATTTATATTTGAAAATTCATCTTTAATCTCGTTTACTAACTCTGACAGCAATAACGCGCCACACAACTCCAGACGGGGAATAGTGGTGGTTTTAATTGGCGCAACCCGAGATCTAGCCGTAAACAATTTAACTTCAGCATCACCATCTTGCTTACTGGATCGAATGTAAATGCAAGCACCGTAGGCATGTTGGGATGCATCGCAGAAACCATGAAGTTCATAACTGTCTGACTCAGGTAGTAATGCTAGTCTTGGTATAATCAATCCATTGAGTGCAACCAAACTTGAATAAAATTTTAACCATTTTGATCTTATCTCTTCTGATAAAATGTCATCCCAACCTACTTTAAGACTCCATACTTGCTGGATAAAAATCTTGCCTTTAATCAACACTGATGATAATAGTCCAAGCGGATCATAGACACTATTTATATCTGATAGGAGTGTGCGCTTACTTATGTGTTGAGGAGCATTCCAGTTTTTCATTGCAAACCGAAAGCTATCTATAGATGGTTGCCAAAGAAGTCCCAACGCGCTCAACACCTCAGTTTCAGTAAGATTTATCATGAAGTTTGGATCCTTCTGATTATGTGGAAGGCTGTTAAGGAGGGTTGACGAACTTGAACACCATTTACGCAACGGAAATCCAGCAGTACCAAGGATTGAGTGAACTTGTTTATGGATATCAAAACATTCTTCATCAGTGTCACCCCCACTTATCAGGTCATCTACATAGAAATCCTGACATATGATTCTGCCTATGGGTGTGTTTTCAATGAGCGCACCAAGCTCATGGAGACAGCGTGTAGCCAGGAAAGAGGCTGATTTTGTTCCATATGTGACTGTCTTGAGTTTATAATGCCTTAGTGGTTCTTCAGGTTGCGAACGATATACAATGCGCTGCAAATCACAGTCTTCATCGGACACTAGCACCTGTCGGTACATTTTTTTCACATCAGCAGTTAAAGCAATGCGATGTAATCGAAAACGCAACAATATGTTAAAAATATCTGGTTGCATTTTCGGGCCCCTGAGCATAATGTCATTCAGTGACAGTCCTGACTTGGATGCCGCAGAGCCATCAAATACAACGCGCATCTTTGTAGTGGTGCTGTCCGTCTTAAACACTGGATGATGTGGCAGGTAATACGTAGGCTTATGAATGGCCGGTGATGCTAATTCCATATGACCCATGGCAATATATTCAGCAATGAACTTATCGTACTGTTCAGTGAGTACTTTATCTTTTTGAAGTCGTCTCTCTAGATTTAAAAATCTTTTTTGAGCCATGTCTAATGAATCACCAAGCACCTTGGGATCTTGTGCCATTGGTAGCTTCACTATGAATCTCCCACTGCAATGCCGACGAAAAGTTGATTGAAAATGCTCTTCGGCTTTGAACTCTTCAAGAATACGTTGATTGGTCTTTGACGTGAAGAACGATAATGCAGATTGATTCTGTATCATGAGGTTTGGTAATGTATGAGGAGTTGACAAAGTTGAGATTTTGCCTGTTACTATCCATCCCAACTTGGTACGATGCAAGCAAGCTAAATTTGATAATGGAAACTTTTCACCATAAAGTACATCAAAGAATATATCAGCACCTAATAACACATCTATAGGACCAGGACTATGGAAGTTTGGATCTGCCAACTGGTTGAGTATGTTATGAGGCATTTTCAAGTTGTCCCGAATGAGCACCTGAGAAGGCAAGGCACTGACTATAGTCTGCAGAGAGTAGAACTTGATAGTTGTCTTGAAATCACCAAAACGTGAGGTCATAATCGTATCTTGGAGTTGTTTGGCTGTTGATGCCATAGCAGAGACTCCAACAATGTTAAGTGTATGCGAAGCAGTAGACAAGTTAAGCCTTTTAGCACAAGAATTTGTAATGAAATTTAGTTGAGAACCAGAGTCCAGGACAGCTCGGCATGAATGCATGCGCCCAAAAGTGTCGCATACATTGACAATGGCAGTGGCTAAAATAACATTTAGATTTTCAGTTTCCTGAGCTGATATTTCAGTGTACATAGCTGTTGCATGGGGTTCAGGGCTGTCATCATCATTGGCGATAGAAGCATCTTGATTACTGGTGTTTGCTTGTTCCTCATGAAGCTTTGAATTGTGCTTTTCCCCACAACGAGGACATGGAGGAAAATAACAAGAAGAAACTTGATGGCCAAAGTTGAGACAGTTGAAACAAAGCCTTGATTTCATCACAAAGTTCCTTCTATCATTTGTACTCATGTTGTTGAATTTACTGCAAGCATATAATTTGTGATGCTCAGTACATAACGGACATTTGCCAAAACCTTTTTCTTTAGATTTTACAAACAATGCCTTTTTTTCATATGTTTTGTTATTTGAACTTTTTGTTGACATTTTTCTTGGTTCACTTGACAGACAATTCATATCCCCTGCCTCATAGGCTGTTATTCTGTTAGCTAGAAATTGTTCTACAGCCACGTAGGAAGGCAGATCTTTACTCTTATACTGTAGATACCACTCCCCTACTGTAGCACTATCCATTTTACTACATAAAAGAGTGACCAACCATGCATCCCACTGTTCGACTGGTTGCTGCAAGGACTTGAGGGCATTGATGTTAGATGTGACATGATGATGCAGCTTTTGCAGTTCACTACAAGACGGTGAGACCACCTTGGGTGTCTCGAGTAGTGAGCGAATGTGTGACTGGATTATAGCACTCTTGTTTTCATACCGATTTACCAACAGATCATAAGCATATTGAAAGTGTTCTGCAGTAGTAGGAATAGATTTGATAACATCACTAGCCTGCCCTGCAAGGCATGACCTTAAGTAATGAAAGCGTTGAACTAGCGGTAAGTTTGAATGCTCATTATGAAACATTGAATTGAATGTATCTATAAAGGATGACCACTGCTGCCAATCACCACTGAATGTAGGAAGAGCACATGGTGGATACCTCATAGAGTTGAATGTATTTAAATGTTGTTGAGATCTGGCTGAGCTCATTGATGGACTAGATACATTGTCTGGATGGATAACATGATCATCTATGATTTTGAGTAACGCAGCCTTAACATCACACAATCGGTTTCGGAATGATCTTCGAACATTGATCCATTCAGAATCCTTTTTTTCATCTAACATTTCTAACTCAGCTTGATATTCTTCAAATTTCTCAGAAAATTCATTAATTTCCTCAAGTCTTACCTTGACCTGGGAAATATTGTTTGATTCACTTGTGTATTGAGAAGCAAAAGCAAAATGGTCTTCGATGATGGCACATAGTGTATCAATCTTTCTCTTCCATTTGCGCAGCTCATTTGGATCTGGATTGGTTGGCATGGTGTTGTTAGGTTGAATGATGTCTTGAGATGAATTTGAGTTGTTGTGATGTCTTGATGTTAGAATATAATATTAAATCACCTATATGTGGAAACAATTTTGTTCTTATGATAGCAAAAAATATTAATAATAATGGTTCACAAATAATAAATCAAATATTTAAATGTAATAATGACAATTTTCAAATTACTTGATGAATAATATGATGTAAACCAACCTGAACAATTTTTAAATTAATAACTAGAGATTCATGTTTGACTATAAGTTTTTAATCAACTTTAATAACTGCCACACAAAGCATATATAATACAAATAATAATAAATCACGTCGAGGTCACCAAAATGTTGCCGCTGTCAGCTCTTATTAATATGAAATAAGTTGTGCCTTCACGACTGAATCATATATATATATGCTTGTAGAATATAAAATAAAAACAAACAATGTGTGTTGGCAGTTCTGTAATTTTTTATTGAGCAATGATAATAATAATTTGTTTTTCTTGTAATTAAATAAATAAAATAATAAATTGCCAGGCAGGTTTCTAATAATTAAGTATGATATAAATATAATATGTAGCCTCTTGGCTTTTAACAATAATACAATAATTCAAATACAAATAATAATAATACAAAGTTTCTGACTAGAATATGAATGACTAATATAATAAATAATAATATGCAGCTCGTCAGCTGATTACCTTTAGAACTCAGACGAATAAATCACAGTGTACATGCAAATCACAAATGGCAAAAATTCACGTGCTTCTGTAAGTATCTCTTTGAACGCCCTGAATTGGGGAATAATATTAATGAATGAACTAAAACAAATGACTGAACGATACTTACAGAAGGCAATTCACAGATGATGTACACAAAATGATTAACTGAATGATGATTGATGAATGTATTGTATAGAATGAAATTGAATGTCTATGACTCTATGAATTCTATTTTAAAAAATGAATTAAAATACTGACGACTGATTGTGAAAACACCGAACAACCGTGCACCTCGGAGGTCGTGTGAAAAAGGGACGAGTTTTACATTAACGGACATACAAAATGCAACGAGAACTGTACGAATGGGCTTTCAGTGTCACCACACTAAAACAATTAAACATGAAAAAACTAATAACTTTGTGACACTGAAAGCATGACTTGACGAGAAAAAACTTTGAACGAATAATATGACTTTTGAAAACATAAATTGATAACGGTCACGCAGCTGGCCGTTCGCACACGGAAACATGATAAGAATTTATTTGATTACGGCTGCAGCTGCGGACCGCACCGTTGCATGCACATGAAGAAAAAATGATGACAGAAAACAAAATGAAAATGACAATCTTAAACATGAACAATATGTATAGAAGATTAATAAGTATATATATTATATGTACAGTTTATTCACAATATGAGGTACCCACTTAATTATTCAGCTGGATGACTAGATTGAAATTGGGTTTTCGGGAGGTGTTAAGGAGTACTTAAATACACATTTTTAAGCAAATTTGAAATTGGGGGACGGAGTGGCTGAGCAGACTAAGGCGTCGGTTACGACGCTGACCATCGCCGTTTTGAAACTTGACCACGGGCGGCTCCTCTGGGTAGGCAACTGCCTCCGGCGACCAGGCATGGCAGAAACCTATGGGTGCCCAATTCAAAATTCAACCAAAACCAAACACACGTGTTAAGCCAACCTACAGTACCTTCCCCCACAGTTGGAAAACCATCCAAAGACTATGTTGCTACGAGTTAATGAAAAAAAAAAAAAAAATTAAAAATGTATAACTATCTTATTTAGGTGAAGTAACAGTAAAATGGATTGAAGCATTTCAGACCAAGTTACCAATGACTTTAAGTGGAGGTCTTTTTGGAGCTGTACGACTTAAATCAAAGTAAACATTTATATACTTAATATACATCTACTCTAGTTTGTTCTATTTAATGCCCACTTACATTATTTTTAGGCAAAGAGAACAGTATGTAAAACATTATTTACCATGGGCTATTCAAACAGGACTAAACAGTAATTTTATGTTGAATATTTATTTTGAAAAAAGATGGGATCAACCAATAGAAGAACTACAAAAAGAATTAAATATAAAACCTTTAGAAATAATTGATTTAAAATAAAAATTGTTTCTATGTGTACCTAAGTAGTGTTAACATCTTGTTTTGTATTTTCTTCTAACTTAGTATACATTTATTCATTAAACTTAATCAACATTTGGAGCAAATACAAATTCTGTAAAATAAAATAAATATTAATTTGAATTAGTTAAATGAGAATTTTATAGTTTCACTGACCATTTTGACCTTCAAATGTTTTAAGCTGGAGTTGGGCCATAGGAATTTGTTCTGCTTTTGTTGATTTTATAGTATTAGAAATAAGTTGAAGTTTGAGAGACTCATACTTTGACTAAAATATTAAAAATAATTGCATAATAAACTAATATTTTTATATTAATTTTGTATTCAATTTACCTCTTTTATACAAAAATGTTTAACTATATTTTATTAAAAGATATATGAAATTTTAATACTAAATACCTATGTGAAATTTAGTAAAAATAAATATAATTTTACAGTTTTGGAAAATGTATGGCATCATAAAATTAATAATATAGACTATACTATGCTCGCAATTTTCCAGTGACCAAAACGTGAAGTATATAATAAAAATTATAATTTATAACCCAACCTTATATTAGAATGTAAAACAATATTTATCTTCAATAGTACAAATGTACAATTATATTTATGTTTCATGCTAGAAATGCGCTTAACTGGAACAGTGTAAAATTATTCCACATTATCCCGCACCGTATAATGAACCATGTAAATGATATGATCTAAACATCCCGGTCCGTTATTTTTACACCGGTTTAGCCTAGCGAATTTCTAGTCAATATTTGATGACACCATAACTAGACATGATTGCTATTTTAAAAATTTTTTAATGATTGAAAGTGTATAAATATTAAATCCTAATATGCATAAAATTATGTTTTGTTGATTTTATTTTTCACCTGAACTTGTTGTAAGATTCTACTCTTTTCGATCAGCTTCTCTTCTATCTCTTGGGTTTTTCGTCTTTGTAATTCAGCATCTTTCAAAGCTGCTATAAATGTAATTTTACACTAGTTATAAATAGGCAATTACATACCTTTATATATTTTGTTGTCATATAAGTATTCCTAAAAGTATACTTGCACTCAGATTTTTTTGTTTCAATTAAAATATTTTTTTGAAACTGGTATTCCATGGTTTCCATATTGATTTTAACCTGTTCAAATTTTGCTTGAAGTCTTTTCATACTACTAGTCTGAATGATTTTTTCTTGGGTCATTTGGTAATTCCAAAAAGACACTGCTCGTAATGATATATCCATTACAACTTCTGGTCTTAACCCACATAGTATCATCTAAAATTTAAAATTAATCATTGCAGAAGCTTAAACGTAAGCTTAAATCTATGTTTTTAGAATAGGTTAAAGGTAGTCTTTAGTTAAAATGCATACAGATTTAAAAGATTCGTCTGGATTTAAGTTTATCTGGACGATGTCCAATCGTCTATTTAGGACTTCATTACAGCATGGGCATTTTTTTTCACGGTTAAATGTTCGGCTACCATCGTAGTCGCAAAATATATGTGAGCAACTCGTTACCCATGCAAATGAGTTTAAATCCTTACGACATTTTTTATAATTACAGATTAAATTTGTTTCAGACATTTTAATATGTCGATTTGATTGTTTCAACAATTGAATCAGCTTGCAAGTTGCAACGAATTCACATTTTCACTACTCATTATATAATAGTATAGGATATAGTATCTATATATATTAGTCAATAACCATATTTGTATAACCAGTGAACTACTATAGGTAGATTTCCACTACACACGTGCATATATGTACGTGTACGTGCATAAAAATACTTTTCTGTGACTGGTTGGTATACATGGTAAGCTTTTGGTATACCAAAGTATATACGTTCTTACCACAGGTTCAACCATGATACCGTGAAGTTGGATCAAAATTGAAGTCAAACTTTTTCGTGTACACGGCTCTATATTGGAACTTTTCTACTTTATAGGATAACCTTTTTTGGGGTTGAGGGACGCCAGCGATGCCCGCGTTACCACTCGCTCGCTGGGCTGCGATCGGACAAAAAATTTGAAAATATCCCTCAACTTGCTATGCAATACTACCTCAAGTTGGTCATAGGGTATCGGTATCCGCCGCGTATATCCACTCTTATCATTTTCCTTAGTCCTTACTCTTTATATACTAACTTTGAAATGTCGTAACTTCGAAACTATGCCCGAACGCTAAATTTTGCCTTCACCATCGTTTTCAGTGTACCTACTTAGCTACATAAATCAGTTTAAGTTTCAGAAAAAGTAGAAATATACCATAAAAATCAAACTTAACCTGCTCATACGTACGAACGTTTACATTAAACAAATGAAAAAAGAACACATTCAGTCTAGCAACATTAATATTTTAATAGTCTTTTAATATTATAATATTACCTATCGAAATCGTATCTTAATATCATTATTTTCCAATTGATAATCGATAAGACGATAAAATATATCTGAAATCTTATTTTTTTCAAAATTACGTAGATATATTTATTTTGGTAGAATCATATATTAAGTACACTGTACTTGAAAAACAATTTGGGGCAAATATTTTCTTTAAATTTATTATTGATAATTTGTACTATATAAAATGGGTATTCTACCTTAAAGTCCGGTGAATAAAAGTCCGGTGAACAAAAGTCCGGTAAAAAAAGACCCTCGAAAAAAAGTCCGGTTTATTTATTATCGGTTTAGTTTATCGTTCGTTGGCGACTTTTATTAAGTTGGGGCACCTAACAGTGGCGTCAGCAGGATTTTTCAATGGGGGGGGACTTGAAAATTAGTTACAAATTTATTTTTATTTTGTCCAGTCTAATAATTTCAGGCGTTTATTTGAGGTATTTTAAAATGTTTGTAACTTTTCAAATTTTCTGGTAGAAAAAATGCTCTTATCATAAGCTTCGATGCCCAGTGTATGTTTTTGGAAGCAAATTGGATCTAGTTGGTACTTTTAGGAGGTCGAAATTGAATCTGCTCAGTGCTTTTAAAATTACCTAATTGGAGAAAAAAAAATGAAAACTTATTTAAATTGTTTGGTAACAATAGCTTGGCTTATGGTTATACCGTCCTCATTTGGATTGTATTTGATTCATTAAATTTTAGATTTTGAGCGGAGCGATGAATGTAAGTATTGGTTTTACAATGATGTATGTTTTTATATTTTTATATTTTTGTGTCTGTCATCACGTTTTAGGACAGTAAAAGTGCTTGGATTTTCTTCATCAGTAGCTTTTCTGATAGGAAAGTGAATCTAGTTGGTACTTTGGGGGGTCAAAAGTATAAATTTCCCAGTAGTTTTCACAAGCGCCGGGAAAAACAACATAAAAATTAAGGAAAAACGGGAATTTTTAAGCAAAATTGGTTTTCCAAAAAATCGATTTTGGTTATTGGTGTAACTCTAAAACAAATGAACGTATATACATGAAATTTTCACTGGTTGTTTATATATGCATTTTCTATACACGATAACATTTTCAAAATATTTTGATTTATTTGGAACTGTTTAGGGACATTTTCATTTTTCATTTTTTTTTAGTTTTTTTTCTAGAAATATCAATAAAATTTTATTTGTTGGTTGCGAAAGCTTGAAAATTTAATAGAAGGCTCCTAATATGTTGTTTCAAAGGCAGATGAAAAATATTAAAAATCCTTAGTCACAATTTTTTTTTATAAGCATTTAAAGTTCAAAAATTGACAAAATATGGAAAAATCACGAAAATTAGCAAATTATTTTGAGTTAAGAATTCGTAAAAATTTTTCTTTTTAAATCTAAGATTTGAAAATGAAACACAAGATTCCTTATAAGATTATCTACCTTTATCAATAAAAAAATCTCTACCGGACAGTCAAATTAAATTTTTATGAGCGTTTGAAATTCAAATTTTTACAACATTGGATTTTCACTCGATTTCTCATGTAGCGATTTCCTTATTTTGTTGTAATTCAAAAACGAATAACTGTAGATACATGAAAATTTCACTGAATGTTTATATTAGCATTTCCTATACACCATACAATTTTGAAAAGATTTTGACTCTTTTTGAGCTGTTTACGGACATTTTCAGTTTTCAATTTTTTTAGTTTTTTTTTTTATAATTGTCAATAAAATTTTATTTGGTGGGCCAAAAAGTCTGAAAATTGAATACAAGCTTTCTTATATATTGTTACAATATCAGTTGAAAAATTTTAAAAATACATAGGCACGATTTTTTTTTATAAGCATTTAAAGTTGGAATTTTGACAAAATTTATCAAAATCTCGAAAATTATCAATCGTTGGAATTAAAAAATTATAAAATGTTCAGTTTTTATAACTAAGAGTTGAAAATTTAAGACAAAGATTCTCTTAAATAATTCATACTGTAACCAAAAAATCTAAAAAATATATAAACACACTTATTTTTTACAGACATTTTAATTTCAAATTTAGACAAAATTTCATATTTAAACCAAGAATTACGATTTTAGTTATTTTGTTGTGATTGTATAATATTATTCGTGGGTACTTGAAATTTCTAAAGTAATCTACTATATATATCTATGATAGTATTAGGGTTTGTTGTTGGTGTATAACGCGTTATAAGTACCTAATGGATATTGTGATATGATTAATTTGGAATTCATTATAGGTCAATTTTTTTTAATACCATAGATATGTATATAATATGTCTTATACCTAAAAGGACATACCGTCTCCGCTCAGAATCGTTTTTCTTATACAATGATATTATATCATTGAATTCAAATTTAATACCATCCATTATACAGTGACCCACTTGTAACCTACTGTACAGCAGAGCGACACCCACTTGCCCACCTTTTTTTAGTTTTTTTTCTATAAATATCAATAAAATTTTATTTGTTGGTTGCGAAAGCTTGAAAATTTAATAGAAGGCTCCTAATATATTGTTTCAAAGGCAGATGAAAAATGTTAAAAATCCTTAGTCACAATTTTTTTTATAAGCATTTAAAGTTCAAAAATTGACAAAATATGGAAAAATCACGAAAATTAGCAAATTATTTTGAGTTAAGAATTCGTAAAAATTTTTCTTTTTAAATCTAAGATTTGAAAATGAAACACAAGATTCCTTATAAGATTATTTACCTTTATCAATAAAAAAATCTCTACCGGACAGTCAAATTAAATTTTTATGAGCGTTTGAAATTCAAATTTTTACAACATTGGATTTTTACTCGATTACTCATGTAGCGATTTCCTTATTTTGTACTACATTGGAAGTAGGAAAATTTAAAAACAAAATAAAAAATCGTCCTAAAATATCTAGTAATAAACAAAGTCAGATTTTTGCCGAGGCGGTTAGTGGTCTTCCGGATGAAATTTTAATGAATATACCTAATGAAAATTCTGTTAAGCTTGTTATTCAAAAGCAAAGTAGCAATTTGAATCCTCCTAAACTTACTTGCTTAGAAGATTTGAAAATTGAAGGTAAATATTTCGCTTATTTTAAACTATTTATAGTAATTTGATATATTCGTTTTTTTTTTATACCGGGTGATTCTTTTATCATTGAAGACTCATTATTTCAAAAATTATTAATGTTTTTAAAAATATTTTTTTACATAGATGCAAGTTGTTAAAAAACCAACGTTTTTATTAAAAAATTATATTTTTAAAAAAATGTTATAAGACACAATTTTATTTTTCTATTATTAAAGCGATATTACGTTAACATTTAAAACGTATTACGTAATAAATATTATTGTATGTAGTATGAACAGTATTATGTACCTATAATTATAATATAAATCATTTGAAATATTAATGATATTATTTTATTTGTATTTTAGGCGATTGGTAACAATTTTTATTATCCGACAAGTGACAACATGGACTTAAACCACGAAAGAGTTATCATTTTCGCTGTGGATGAAGGACTTCGTATTTTAGCAGAGGCAAGTACTTGGTATTGTGACGGAAATTTTAATCTCAGTCCTGAGCATTTTATGCAATTATACGTTATAAGAGTCCCAAAAAATGATTTTTTTATTACTGCTGTATATTGTTTGTTAGAACGTAAGACAACTTCAATTTATGAAACAATGTTTAAAATATTAATCGAAAAATGTGAAGAGAAAAATTTGTTTCCTGACCCGAGGTTTCTGCATGTCGATTTCGAAAAAGCAGTAATTACAGCGGCTAGTTATATTTTTGGTTCGGAATTAGAAATTAGAGGGTGCTTTTATCATCTATGCCAGAGTACATTTCGAAAAATCCAGGATTTAGGTTTACAAAACATTTATATGAATGATGACAAATTTAGTTATTTTTGTTCGATGATTGATAGTTTGGCATTCCTACCCCTTGAACGGGTGCACGAAGGAATGGATTTTTTAAGACAAACAAGCATTTCTGCACATGAATTGTTAAGTTTTTTTTGACACCGCATATGTTAATGGTTCATATAAGAGAGTTGCTGGTATGAACATAAAATTAAGAAAAATTAATCCCTAATTATTCCTACCAAAAACGTGGAATGTCTTTGAAGTTTGAAGCCACATTAAATAGTGAACACAGAACTAACAATATATGTGAAGCATGGAACAACCGCTTCACACACTTGGTAGGTCATAGTCATCCAACAATATGGGTGCTCATTAATTGGGTGAAATTTTATTTTTGTATATTTTTTTTTTCATTTAAAAGTAACAATCAATCTGACCAAAAAATTATTATGTCATATTTTATGTAATATTTTAATTTTTATTGTACCTACCTACCTATAATATTGATTGTAATAATTGTATTATAAATAAACCGGACTTTTGTTCGCCGGACTTTAGTTCGTAGATTCATAAAATGTGTGCATTTAATATTACATAAAACTGCTCAATTTTTAGTTATATTCTTAAATAACCAAAAAAATAATGGTAAACTTGTGTTTTTCGTGTTCAATTTCGTATTACTCTTGATTAAAAAAAAGTATTATTTTTTCTGACGGTATTATATGAAAACAAAATAATAAGTATGAATTATAAAAAGGCAGGTAAGTGGATGTCGCTCAGCTGTACAGTAGGTTACAAGTTGGTCATTGTTTAATGGATTGTATTAAACTTGAATTCAAATGATATAATATCATTGTATAAGAAAAACGATTCTGAACGGAGACGGTTTGTCAGTCTGTATATTTTATATTGTCATTAATTATTATAACATGTAAGTTGTTTTAATACTATAAACATGATATTTATATAGATAATACCTACCTATTTTTTTTTTTATTCGTTGCTACGGTGATAAACAAATTGTTAGAAATTAAAATCCCATTTTAAGCGGTTTTTCGTAATTTTTCAGTACTTTTTCCCGTGGCATTAATTAACTATTGAGAAAATCGAAAAATGACCTCTTTAAAGTACCATCTTGGTCCAATTTGCTAAAAGATAAAGTACTATATGTTGAAATCAAAGCACTCCTTCTGGTAGAAATGTTGTATACACAGTGGCGTATTTTGAAATTTTTTCTGGGGGGGGGGTCTAAATATTAGGTACCTACAAGTTTATAATATAAAAAAAACACATACGAGTTACGATGTAATAATTATATTATATTATATTTTTTTCTGGGGGGGTCCAGACCCGGGGACCCCCCCGTAAATACGCCACTGTGTATACAGGATATAAAAAAAAAAATTAAAAAAAAAAATAAACACCATTGTAAAACCACTAGCTTCCTTGCTCCGCTCAGAATCTAAAATATAAACTTTAAATAAATTATTTAGAGTGAAAAAAAATAATTAATATTTATACCTAGTGTAAAAATTGGAAATAATCGATAGAAATTTCTAATCAACAGTTCTATATCACATTCAATAATCAAATGATTGACCTCATTTTTTTAATTTACAATCAAAATATTATAACAAGAATAAATAAGTACTAAAATGTAGCATTTTTTAGGTTTTAGGAATTATAAATAGCACTTTTGGCCAGCTAAAAATGGGTTTCAGTCCACTGTGCGTTGTACGGGGTATTATTATAATACCTATCAAATATGAACAATGAACTAGTCAGTAAGTTGTAGACAACAACTTGTAATTTGTATCTGTTTGACTTTGTCTGTATGACTGTATGTTGGGCTTTTATTTCCTACATTCGTATTCTGTGGACTGTGAAGTGTGAATAATTAAATTAAGCGTAAAATATTGGTGTAATAATCATTAATCGTAAATCCGTAAATTTGAAACTTGTACAAACGTTGGAAGAAATAGTTATGTATGTATGTTTCCATGAACGTGTCTAGAATAATAATAAAATATATTTTTATCATTAGAATATTATATGATTAGTTGTATATTATGTGATTGTGAATCGTGAATGTAAATAATTATGAAAACACCATGGGAAATACTCAAATTAGTTAATAGCTGATACCTACTTCTATAATAACTAATTTTAGTTTTATATTATATATCATTGAATTATAGAATACGTGCAGGTACAGTATTTTAATTGTGCTATTACGGAATGTCTTTATAGACTTTTCAATAATAGAAAGTGTTCAAAATAATTTGGCCTATAATATTGCTCTAATAACCCGTTTTGTTTGACCTTCCCCCCAAAATGGTAATCCATTAGCTATTTAGCTGCATTATGTTTTGAAGTCTATTTAATATATTTTAAAATTACACACACGTAATATTCTGTTAATTGTTATTAATTTATTTTGGAAGCTATACCAAGGTATTAATTATTTATAGAATCATGAGTGGCACATATACACCAGGCACTGTTCCAACAGCACCATATGGATGGAATCAGCAAATAAGTGTTTCACCAGCAAGTCCTTACACCCCACAACCCGAATGTAAGTGACCAATTACATTTTTTTCTTCTAATATTTTAAAGGTATCTTATTTGATTTAGTTGTGAAGGCACCATATGAACTTATTACCACTGTTGTTCCTGTTGGCCCCCATAGTACCCGAATGGTCTGCTCCTTTTGCCGAAAAGAGATAACTACAAAAATACATAAAAAACCGATTACAAAGGCTTATATATCCAGTTTATTGTGTTGTGTGTTTGGGTAATAAATAAATAAATTAATCATTTTTATCATTTTAAATAGATATTCATTTGTAATTAGGTTGAGGGGACGCTACACGGCATTTGTTGTCTCCAACTAACACATTTTTAGCTTCGTTGGTTTAAAAATTAAGAGTAAATCAACCTATTTTTAAATATGATGGTAAGAACATTATCTGTACTTGATGTGGGTTTTTTTACAATGAATCAAATTTTTAGCAAGTTTTATATATTTAATATAGCTTAAATTAAAAATGACCATTACTCACTTAATATCTGAATTATCGTAAAAAAACCACATACAAACACAGATAATGTTTATACCATCCAATTGCATACAAAATAGGTTGATTCTCTCGAATTTTTAAACTAATGAAGCTAAATACATGTTGAGTGTACATTTACTATGTTATGCACTTGTAAGACAGACAACAGAATATTATGTCTGTTCAGTGTCCTCTTAATATGTTAATACCTTTAATGTGAACTAGTCAAAATATCTGAATATAATATATCGATGGCGTAGCGCACAAGTGTGATAAGTGACATTTTCGTAATTGTTCAGGAGAACGATTTTTAAGTTTGAGATGTCATAACAAATTCAAAAATGTAACGAACTGTACGACGTCTATCGGAGTAAATAATGAACTATTCACTTACAACGTTTGGGCATAATGTGCAGAATTGTATGATTAAATTGATTATGCACTTAACTCATTTTTCAAAAAAATGTCACTTATCACACTTGTGCGCTACGCCATCGATATGTATATACTATATATTTGTTTTATTTTTTGGAACTTAAAAGGACGTTATACCCACATATAAATTAACTATACTATTTATGCATATATTATATTTTTAATACACACATTTTTCTAAAAAGATAGTAAAACATTTAAATTTTTATACAATTCAAAGTTATAGGTACTATTTGTTTAAATTATTATAATGATAACCTTATTAATTGATTTTTTTCAGATGTTTTTGGGGTCCTTGCTTAATACCGTTTTGTATGGATCAATGCTTAAATGTTGAACATAAATGCCCTAAATGTGAAGTTTATTTAGGGCAGTATATACAATAGGTTGTGTATATTTTTAACTAAAACCTTAATGTTCAAATTAACTGTTACTTACAAAACTTAGTATACTAATGCTTACTCAATGAGGCAGCTTGTTTGATGTATTCAAAAGACATTATGTATACTTACTAACAATTATTGTCTTCGGTGACTTGTAATTATGTGCCTTATAGTATTATTGGAAATATAAAATCTCTAAAACTACTTATAAATTAAACAATTTTTTTAATATCCCATTAGAATTTAGTTACCTCATGTCATTATTAATTATAAAAGTTTTAATGTTATCTGTTTATACTTTTATTATTTTATATTATTATAATATTATAATGTGTTGTTTGTTTTTATTATAATTATTATTGTTATGACTAATAAAAAAATTTTCAAAGACTATTTCATTATTTTATTAGATACAGTTATTTGCAATTCACTATTTAGGTATCACTATAACAGTTAATTATAGTTCTGGCAGGTACGATACATATTCATTTCATTGAATCAAATAGGCCAAAGAGTGTTTACTTTAGCAAATATTAAGTACTAAAAAAAAGCATAAAATATTTTTCTATTGGTTACCTATTTTATTTATAATTTTGTTTTATAAAATAAACCTAGGTAATCCAAAAGTATGTATAAAATTAAACAAAACAAATAATGATTAAAAATATGATCACAGAATAAATCTAATTTCATCCACATAGCCACATTATATGGCCTGTAGGTTGCTACATAGGTTGCTGTGTGCTAGTTGCTTGAGCAGTCCTTGAAAAAATAAATAAAAAGAACAGCCCACATAGCAAATGTATGTCCACAGTATGTACTTAAATGGTCCTAGCAGGATGGTCAGGACTATCCTCAGGACGATCAGAGGATACCCATAGAATGTCCAGATGTCCTTTTTTTATTTATCCTCTGGACGTCTCACACGGATGAACTAAGAGGATCCTATCAGAATGAAGTGAGGACATCTTACAAGGATGAACTGAGAACCCCCTATCAGAATGAAGTGAGGATATCCTACAAGGATGAACTGAGAACACCATCAGAATGAAGTGAGGAGATCTTACCCTGATGAACTGGGAATACACTTAACATATAAAATTAAGAATTAATTACATTTTTTATTTTACATGTAATATCAAATATATTAGTACATACATACAACTCAATATAATCAAAATAAAATATCTAATTTTAAGTGTTTATAAAATAAAATAACAGTCATTAGATAATAACAGATTAGTATAAAAGTATTATACAACAGTCTTACAATTATCACATAGTCAAAGTATATATTGCCACAGGGTAACAAATATTAAAATAAATTGTAGTTATGAGGAATCCATAAATTAAAAAAATAATAATCATTCAGTATAAATGAACAGTTACATAATTAATGTATAAAAAAAAACCAAAAAAAAAAATCTTTTTGGGTATTATGGTTATTGAAGACAAAAAAAAATATTTAATTAAAAATGTTGGTATGATAGTAATAGCTATAAAATAAAATAATAGTCACATGATTAGTAGAAAAGTATACAAAAAAATTCATAAATAAAAAAAAAAATAATTCAATTTAAATTAAGTTAGATATGGTAAATAAAAATTTTAAAATTAGATCACATACATACACAGTAATTAACACATGACAGCTTTTAATTTTGTTCCTAAAAAAAGGATTAATAATATTAATTGAAATTTCAACAAAAATTAATGATCATACAAACTTTTATAATTATTTAACTTACATTATCTACATGGCAATTTTGTTTCGTGAATCTTTCATTTGCATGGCGTAACCAACTTTGAATTGGCTCTTGCAATTTTTTTACTGTAAGTTCAGGATTATTCTTCAACATGACTTCTAAAAATAAAATATTATTGGACAACGAAAATATTAAATTACAAATGTGAACCAACTTTCTAAAATTGCATATAATTTTAATGATCCAAACGCTAGTTTGGATGTTTTTCCAAAAAAGGTCATTTTTGTTGCCAGTTCATTGGTTATTAAAAATCTCATTAGACTAAAACTACTCTGTTTGTAGTCACTTGATATTAGTTTTGACATTTTTTTAATCTATGAAATTAATACATATACATTTATTATAGTTATTGGGAATTAAATATAAATAAAAGCAATATATTAATTACCAAATATTTATTTGCAATATGGTCAGTGGTCAGTTTTTCTTCCATCTCAAATAAAACAGTTTCATTTCCAATAGGGAACTGTAAAATTAATTTATCAAGTTCTAAATCATTTTCTGGATGATTGTCAAACAGAAGTTGTTTTAGAAGTTGATTGTTAGCATTTACAGATTTTTTTATGATTGAAACGTCACTTTTAAGTTGAGCGATAGATTTAATTAACCATATCTGTGTTTCGTGACTGTTAAATGGTCCTGAAATAAAAAATAGTTGTTTTTGATACCTGACTATTAAAATGTAATTAGGGATATTTACCATTATCATTAATAAAATTATTTTGGGAATCGTTGACTTCTGCCACTGACATTAAATTTGATGTGTCATCATTGTTTTCAGTACCTTATAAAATGATGATAACATAAATTACAAGCTTTTTCAAAATTATCAATTAAAATTTAAAATGATTAAAATACCTGACTCAATTTCAAACGGTAACTGATTGATATCGAGATCAATATCTTCAAATAAATTTGGTGATAATGAAGACAGCTGCTGTGGATCGTTGAGTTCCAAGTTTTGATATCCTAATCAAATCACATAAATTATTTTACTTATAATCCTTAAATATAACTTGGATAAATTAAAAATATATTACTTGAATCACTCGAGGTACTGGGTAATGGTGAAATTAATTTATTGAAAGTGCCAAGACATTTTTGATTGGATGGTGTTTTTCTCATCATTGATTCTACAATAGTTAAATATTGAAATTAAATAACTGTAACATCATAAATAACTACTCAAAATTGTATGTTACCTGAATTAAATAAACGTTTTTGAGATGAAAGAACAGGAGAACATACTTGTTTCTCATAGACAGGTTTCTGAATAGTTGTTTTTTTTGTTTTACCTATAAATAGTTTTGACAGTTCTATAGTATCATATTATAAAAGAATTTTTTCAACTACCTGAATTAAACAAACACTTTTTTCCGCTACTATTTTTCTGGGTAGATGTATATATTTGTTCTTTTGCTATGTCAAATTATTAAAATTTATTTAAATTCAAATGATCATTTTTATTTTTATGAGATGTATAATTACCAGGTGGATTTGGAAATGGTGGAATAATATTACTAATGGGATCAGAATTTTCGTCAAATCCATCACTGTCACTAAATGATTTTGCAGCATACACTTTGCGCATTTTTAATGCAGTACTAGAGTCACTTTCAAAATCTGACCTATACTCTGCTTTACTTAATACTTCTTTAGCTTTAGTAAAATCATCTAGAAATAAAAATATTCAATTTAATTACACATTAACATTTAATATATCAAAATAGGCATATCAGACCTGTTTTTTTAAAAATCTTTTTAATATTATATACATCCCAAGTAGTTGTGGGTGTATTTGGAATTTCCATTGAAACAACAGCACGGTCATACAATTTGAAGTTTTTATAATTTGGAAAAAAACTGGAGTTGTCGTTAATTAACCAATTACTTGGGATAATTTGTAATCCGTCGTCAAATTCAACAACCAAAAATCTATAAATTTCCATATTAATAATTTGAATATCATACGTTTTATTAATTTGTACCTTTATATTATTATTAAATAGTAAAATGTATGTACCTTGCTTAGTGTTAATAGGTAAAAATAAATTATTGCACTTGTACATTAATAATAATTAGGAAAAAATCAAAGTATAATTCATATTTAGGAAAATTTACAAATCTGGAATATCATCATTATCAGAATGTAAAAGAGGAAAAACTACATATTTATTTATATTCCAAGGGAGTCTATAACGAAAACATTTTTTTTGCACCTGACAAATGGTCCAAGTACTTATTGATGACAATTTACCTACTACATAAATATCAAGTAATGATGACGGACAAGGAGTTATATAAAGATCATCTTGCTCCAAAAATTGTTTTCCTTTTAAGCCATATAATTTAGAATTTGTATCAAACAAAAACTCCTTAATTAAAATAATTTCTCCAGTTTTTAGTATACAACAGTTATTTTTAGAGTTATGTGATATTAATGTAAATCCATTGAAATTGAAATAATTATTTTTGTTATTACAGGGTATAGTTCTATTAACCTTTTTTATATTCCCAAACAATCCAATATTTTTTCGTTCTACATATCGTCGACTGATTTGTTGTAATGGTTTATCACTTTTACGTATCATTTTTTTCAGTTGCTGCATAAAATTTTCGAATTTGAAAGCACTAAATTCGTCAAGTGTTCCATGATATTTAACATCATCTGCCAGGTGTAAGAGTCCATGAATATTATGAGATGAATTATGAATACCATATAAAACTTCAAAAGAAATTACAAAGTGTCTTAATAACTCCTCAGCATAGTTTATAAGTTTTAAATGTAATTCATTGGATGCTAAAATAGATATAGCTACATGCAGTGATAAAAAATGATTATAAACATCTATAGAAACAACATCTTTTAGAACAACAGGGCCACTATAAAGGAGAAATTGTCTAAATTCTGTAGCTTTCCATTGTTTATAAACCATTAATGATCGAGGCTTTCTTTGAAATTCTAGAGGCACAAACACACTTACATGTTTTAAAAGCCTATCAGAAATAAGACATAATTTTCTAACCTGAAGTCTAACACTCAAATGATCAGTTGTCCATAGTTTAAATAGTTTTTTTACTACACCTAGACATACGAGGTGCATATAATCTAATGGAACTTGTGCAACTAGATCAAAATTTGGAATGTTAATTAAAGGACATTCACCTAAATGATATTCTTCATCAGAATAATTTCGAAAATCATTATCATTTCGAAGTTTAGCCACTATTGGAGGAAAACATACTCCTTTATGATATTCTCCTTCAATACAACATTTAGTGCAGCTGTAATACCCACTATGCCCTTTAACATTTAAAATAAATGATTTTGCTGGTGTGTCAGCAGTTAACATTCTAATTTTAAGCATTATTTTTTTATTTTCACACTGGAAACCATTTTGAATCAAACATTTTGCTTCAGTAACAAAATCAGCCATGAAACTTATTGCACATTTTGGCTTGGTACTTTCAGTACTATGAAAAGCACCAATTAAAAATACAAAACTAGTTTTATAAATTGACCCTAAAATTGGCCATAAATTATTTGATGATGATTTAGACAGCGGCAGCCCATCAACACTAATAATTATTTCTATTTCAGTATTATTAAGTAAAAATTCTTTATTTTTTTTTAAATATTGATTTAAACCATTTTCTAAGCCAAAATGATGATAAATTCCAGGATATAGTTCTTTAACAATAGTTAGTTTATTAGGTGTTTTTAATAAAGTTCTTGGGTCACTTGGTAGATAATTTAGGCAAGAATGGGATTTCAATATTTTTAATAATTTTGACAGAGATACATGAGAAATATTTTCTTCTACAGCCCAGGTAACAATTAAATCTTTGATATCAGTGTTTAAATTTGTAGTTGATATTGGCTTAGTAAAATCATTATTAGTAGAAAATGTAGTATCTACCATAGGATCTGTAGATATGTTTAATTTATTTAAAACAGAATGAGTAGTAGAGGAGTTAAGGGAACTATCATTAATGTATGATGTTGCAATTTGATTTTCAGAAACATCTAATTGATCTAATGAATTATGTCTAACAGTAGTTTGACTAGTACATGCAACATTTTTGGTGGGATTAATTAAAAAATCAACTTCATTTTTTATCAATCTTCGTTGATGTCTAGAAGAAATAGATTCGATTGATTTAACCTTTTTATTGGCACAAATGCTATAAGAAGTAAAAATATTTGTATTACTAACTTAACTACACCTCAAGAAAATATTTAAAATACTAATAATCGAAAAAAAAAATAAAATCAATATTGTAATATTTCATAATTAGGTTTGTCACACTATATAAATGGTACTTACTTTTTAGATAAATATTCATCATTAGACGACATGATGATAAATGAACTATGAACTATTGAACTGTATTAGAAATTTTGAGTTAGGTACTAAGTTACCTATATAATTTAGAATTTTTTAATTAAACATAACTACATTGTAATTACTACAATATAATATACGAACCTGTTGAAGATCAGCCAACCACACGACTACCTACTGACTAGTAAGTCATAACACTAGTACGCGTATAAAATAAAACACAAGTATAAAATCAAGGTTTATAAAAAAAATATGTAATATCGTCGAGAAGTGAGAACTGTTAACTGCAGAGAACAGAATGTCGCAAACGGCGTGGGAAGGCCCAAGAGTGAGTGATGATGCGCGCGATCGAGTTGGTCAATTAGCCGGCTGAGCTGAGCCGCACGAACCAGCGCGACCCTAGTGACGACCGTTGTACCGCCGCGTATAGAATATTAGAAAAAAAATAATTTTGTAAAATGAATTAGTGTACCAATATGGATATTTTTAGAAATATAACGATGAAAAAATTCCCTATGTTATACGATAACATCGATAACAAATAAATACTTGTTTGTGCGTACTGCACTACCGCCATATATACCAACTAGATTAGTCTGGAATTCCATGAGATAATTCTGTCTGTTATAGTGTTATCTCCATTCTCCGTGGGAAAACTGCCCGATGCCCGTTAACTCATTATACAATAAATACAGTATAATATTAAATATACTAGTGGTTTGTACCTATATATTGATTGGTATAATGTTCATATACTTCATGGTGCCTGGTGGTACTTATTAATACGTCTTTCTGAGTAGGTACATGATAAAATAATTATATCTTCTGTGAGTCCTTTATTATGATGTAGATTTAAATCCTCACAAATTCCATTAAGTATTCAAATAGGATTTACCCAATATCCTACCAGTACCCTAATGGGAGGTAAGTCATTTGAGACTGTACTAAGAGCATCCTCAGAATGTCTTTTTCGAGCATACTGTTAGGATAACTTGCGGACATGATTAGGATGGTCCTAATGACGTCCCGGGAAGAATTTTGCTATGTGGGAGTGAATACCAATAACAGTGTTTCATTAAAAACTAGCTCAATTATTCGAAGTTTAAAAATTGTTTAATATAAAATATAGGTACAATGCGAAGCTTATGTTTACATCACAAATTAAGATATACTTAATATTATAAAATTAATTCGTGGCTTACAGCAAATACTATAAATGATAATGTGACGAAAACTAATGCCCTCAATTTCACTATTGGTGGCCTACCTTTGCCCCTTATTATTATTATTATTATTTTTGTTCATTGATAGACGGGTACTATAAATTATATATAATATAATATCATTTTTAAACAGTCTTAAAAATATGTAATATAAAATTATTTTAACATAACTTATTTTTAATAAGAATAAAATAATATCAAATACTATAAATGATTTATAGTATTTGATAATATTTAAAACTTTAACAAACCTTGTAAATAATAGTAAAATAATACTATTATATAATATAAAAATAATTTAATGCACTTTCCAACTTTATTATATATTTACAATTTACATAATATGTAACAATAAAATATATAAATACATAATAGCGAATAAGTATCATACTAATAATATAAAATCAATATTTATTCTTATGAATGTGTAATTTTTTTCAACTTTTTGTTTGCTGTTTTAATTGTATAGTGGGCCATATTATTATTACAGTTTTTTATATAACTATTAATTAAAGCATTTATAAATTTTTTGATGAATTCAAGTTTACATATACAGTAGACGCCACTTATAAGACTCACTGATATAAGGTTCAGTCGCTTATTAGACTCAAAATCGTCTGGAACGGTCCGGACGAATCCAAATACATTAAAAAAAATTGGTTATAAGACTCAACACTTCGGTTATAAAACTCAAATTTCGTAAAAAAAATAGTAGAACATTTTTGGTTATAATTTAGAAATTAATTGGTATTGAAAAATTAAATAATATTCGTGTTGATTATTTCTAGTTTCTGGTGGTACCTGTTGTTTAATGTAAAAGGACAAAAAAGAATAGTTCAAGACATAACGAGGTTTTATAATGACAGAACAAAAAAAACAACGTTATAGTATTCACACATTTAGGTTAAGTGTACACAACAAGATTACAACAGAAAGGTGATAACAAAAGTGATAACAATTAACAACACTTCCACTTAGGGCCGTTCTTACAATGTCCGGTAAAGTGTCGGTTAGCGTTAACCGACACTTTACCGGACATTGTAAGAACGGCCCTAAATCTTGTAACTACAAACATTAATTAAAAATTTCAAGTATACATATAACATAGGTAAAATAATAATAATAAATAAACATAATGTAAAACAAATAACAATATTATACTTGACTATTGACTAATTTAATATAAACCATAAAAAAAATAATCTTAGTATTCATTGACACCAATAAGTTTCTTCAGTCTCATAAATGTTGAAGCCGACAGTGGTTTAGTAAGAATGTCGGCTAGCTGATTTTCTGATGGAACATACTCCAATTTTATTTCATTGTTGGCAATTGATTCATTAATGAAATTGTACTTGGTATCTAGATGTTTAAGTCTTTGATGTTTTCTTGGCTCTTCAGCAATTTTGATGCAGGATTGATTGTCTTCATACAAAACAATTTGTTCATCTGCTCCTATAACGCCCATTTCAACAAGTAAACCTTTGAGCCACATAGCTTCTTGTATAGCTGATGCCAATGCTAGATATTCAGCCTCTGTTGAGGAGATTGCTACTGTTGATTGCTTTCTTGTAGACCAGCAAACTGTGGATCCATATATTTGAAATAAGTATCCAGAGGTAGATTTCCTATCGTTGATGTCATTAGCGAAATCTGCATCAACAAATCCCCTTAGTGGACTTACTTCTTTACCCTTTTTATAGATAAGACCAAAATCAGTAGTACCCTTCACATAGCGTAGTACTCTTTTGAGTTGAATGTATAAACTGTCTGTCGGTTGAGACTGATATCGACTAAACAAGTTCACTGCAACGCTTAAATCCGGTCTTGTTTGAATCATTACATACATTAGACAGCCAATTAACTCGCGATAAGGTTTATTAGTTGCCTCTCCATTTTCTGTATTAAGTTTGGTTTCCATAGGTGTCGATATTGGCTTGCAGTCTTCCATTGAAAATTTCTTCAGCAACTTTTCCAAATAATGAGTTTGACTAATTTTCATAGAGTCTTCAGTACGTTCTATTTTAATACCTAGAAATGATTTTGCTTCGCCTTGATCGGTTAATTTAAATTCTTCTTTCAGTGTTCTTCTTAAGTCATTCATTGACTTCATAGAGTTGCTCACTATTAGAACATCATCCACATACAATAGTAAAAATAAACATACATTACTATTAATTTTTATATATAAGCATCGATCAGAATTACTTCTTACTAATCCTTGCCCTTCAATAAATTCATTAAATCTTTTATTCCAACAATAAGGAGCTTGTTTTAAACCATACAATGATTTATTTAGTTTACAAACTAAGTTTTCCCCTTTCTCAAAACCCTCAGGTTGTCTCATGTACAATTCTTCTTCAACTATTCCATTCAGAAACGCTGTTGTCACATCCATTTGAATAATATGCAAGTCTTTGTGTAGTGCCAGTGATAGTAATGTGCGAACAGTCACTATGTTGGCTACAGGTGCATAGGTATCCATATAGTCAAAACCCAACTTTTGAGAATAGCCTTTGACAACAAGTCTTGCTTTAAATCGTATAACATTTCCTTGTTCATCAGTTTTAACTTTAAAGACCCACTTGTTGTTCATAACCCTTTTGTTAGGCAGTCTTTTAACCAAAGTCCATGTATTATTCTCATTAAGAGCTCTCATTTCTTCTTCCATAGCTGCTTTCCACTGAGTATGATTTGGGTGAGTTTTGATTTCTTCAACAGTTTCTGGTAAATCTTGAACTTAGTATTCAGCAGAAAGTGCCATCATTGACATTTCATAATCCTTATGCCACGTTGGAGTTTTCCTGTTTCTTTTCAATTGTTCTTGTGTTGGTATATTATTTCCAATGACTTTATCCACCTCATTTTCTGTTTTTCTTTCTTCATCTTGAGATTCTTGTTCAGTGGTTTCTTTTGATTCCTCAGCAATTTCTGAATTGTTTATTTCAACAAGTATTTCCTTTTCATTATTAGTAATTATAGGATTTAACAATTCTTTTTCATTAAATATGACATCTCGACTGACAAACACAGTCTTTGTTAATGGATCCCATAGCCTATAACCATTTTTTGTATAACCAACAAATATACATCTTTTTGACTTTGAGTCTAACTTACGCCTCAATTGGTCTGGTATGTGTGCGAAAGCAACGCATCCGAAGATTCTAATATTGTTTAAGTTAGGCTTACTTCCAGTCCAAAGCTCAACAGGAGTCTTCTTTATATTTGCATGTGTTGGTAGTCGGTTTCCCAAATAAGCGGCCGTGAGTACTGCTTCTCCCCACATTTCTTTTGACAAGTTTGATTGTAACAGCAATGATCTTGTTCTTTCTACCAATGTTCTATTCAATCTTTCTGCTAAACCATTTTGTTCAGGTGTGTAAGGAACAGTATAGTCAACAACAATTCCTTTAACTGAACAAAAACGTTTTAACTCATTGCTTACATACTCCCCTCCATTGTCACATCTCAATATGGAAACTTTTAAATCAAAAAATGCACTTACAGTTGCTTCATAATTTTGAAAGCATTGAAACACTTGACTTTTTTTTTCTAATAAATAAATAATTGAAAAACGGGTATAATCATCAGTGAATGAAAGAAAGTATTTCTTACCGTTCCAAGTAGTCGGTGATATTGGTCCACACACATCACTGTGCACAATTTCCAGCGGACGACGAGTCTGAAAAGACCTTGATTGAAATGGTTTTCTTGAGTGCTTGCTTTCTACACATGTTTGGCAGAAGTCCGGAATATCATTCTTGTTAAGATTTAGTCCAGTAACCATATCTCTCAACATCCATAAATAACTTTTGTTTGGATGTCCCATCCTTTTGTGCCACAAACTCTCATCAATTTGTGTATCAATACAGTTATTTGCACAAGTATTTGGTTTTAGAGAGAAAGTTATGCCATACAGAGTTCTCATTCTGCGTGCAACAGCAACTACATTTCCACTAGGTTTAGTGATTGTTGCAAGACCATTTTCAAACACAACTTTAAAGTTCAACTGTTCGATCTTACCAACTGATAATAAGTTGTACCTTAGATTAGGTACGTAGTATACGTTTTCAAACTTACACAGAATTTCTTCACCATCAACTCTACTATAAGAAATTATTGTACCTGTCTTAGTCGCAATTAAACTTTCCCCATTTTTGGCAACTCCGATGTTCAGAGGAGTTTCCATTTGCTTTATAAAGGAGAAATATTTTTCTTGATTCACCAAGTGATCTGAACAACCGGAATCAATGAACCAAAAAATTTCACTTGCCTTCTCGGTAGGTTCCATATCTTTTCCAATTGAAAAACAAACCGCATCTTCACTTTTGCTGACTACATTATTTGCTGTTGACTTTTTCCAAGATTTCTTATTTTTGTCTCTACCAAACTTTTTTTTAAATTTACATTCTGATACCCGATGACCAACTTTATCACATCCATAGCATTTAAATGGAAAACTACTATTACTTGTAGTTCCAAAAGCTGTACTTCTCTGTTGAGGTATATCTGTAGTATTTGTTTTCTTCGCTTCTTCATCCAGCAATCTTCCTTTAACAAATTCAATTGTTAATTTCTCAATTGAAAGTGTTTCTATTGCTGTCACAACATTGTTATATGTTTCCGGCATCGTCAACAGAAGATGACATACTATATCTTCTTTTTCCAGTTTTGCCCCAGCTGACTTCAACTGTCTTATAAGTTCATCAAATTTTATAAAATGAGCTTCAAGATTAGTGTCATTTTCAAGTTTTAGTGTAAGTAACCGCCGTCTTAGATACAGTTGACTCGCAACACCCTTACGTTCAAACGTCTGAACTAACGAATTCCAGATTTCCTTCGCAGTTTCTTTGCCCATTACATACTCTAAATGACTGTCAGCAACACATTGAACAATTAGGGACTTACATTTCTTGTCATCCTTTTGCCACTTTTCCAGCTCTACCTTTTGAGTTGAACTAGGCTCATTACCTGTAAGGCAGGCTCTTACTCCAAATTCTTCGAGAAGTATTTCTACTCTAAATTTCCAGTTTGGAAAATTAGTTCCAGCAAATTGAGTTATCCCATACTTGTCATCAGTTCTTTTAGCCATGTCTGGGCCCATAACCTGTTGTTTAATGTAAAAGGACAAAAAAGAATAGTTCAAGACATAACGAGGTTTTATAATGACAGAACAAAAAAAACAACGTTATAGTATTCACACATTTAGGTTAAGTGTACACAACAAGATTACAACAGAAAGGTGATAACAAAAGTGATAACAATTAACAACAGTACCTTATAACGTACAATAAAAATAAATAATAAATACATTATAATATGTACATACATCCTTTATAATTTTTTATTAATGTATAATTTTTATATGTAATATTTACCTATTATAATTTTAGTTTTTTTTTATCAGGATTATTAAATTTATTCAATAATAAAGTATATAATATTATGTAATATGTGTTAAAGTATTAAAATCAAAGCAAAATATGTAATAAAATAAAATTTATAAATACGTAATTAATTTTTTTTTCCACTTCGCCTATAAGATTCATTCGGTTATAAGACTCACTTTGTGCTGGTCCCAAAGTGAGTCTTATAAGCGGCGTCTACTGTAGTGACTGTACTACATATAATATGTATTGTCCTGATACATACGGTTTGAATCAAATTAATCATTTTACTTCTTACATTCGTTTTTGATTCCAATAGCATTTTTTGAATATTTTCTTTAAATAAACAAGTCATTCTTTTACAAAAATCAATCGTTGAATCAAATGGATACAGCAAATCACTATTTTCATATTCTTTCATTTCAATGAAAGTAGTACATGGGTTGAATACAGCAGTGTTACTTTTGTTTTTTGTTGCCAATTGTTTGATGCATTCAGGATGTTCAAGTTTACTGCATGCCCATCCTGTGACATAAGCTACCTACTTCAGATGTATTATGCGGATCCATGAGGATACTGTTGATATTTGTTGATGACAAATGAACATCTAGTATATTGTTACACATACCTTCATTATTTTCAATTGTATTATCCCATATGTTAAATGAATTTACTTGTAGACTAATTGTTTTTAATTCATTGAGCTTAGTTAAAAATTTGCAGGCATCCATTTCACAATTCCCTTCTTCTGATGGTGTAAGTAAATTTTTACACATCAACATTCTTATTGCAGACTGAAATTTAGTAGCATCTAGAGAAGTATTATTTCTACCGTTTGCTCTAATTATTGAAAATACATTTTCAATACAATCTTGAGTTAACCTTCTGGTTAGTAAAAATTCTATAGAATATTCTGCGTTTAATTCTTCATACAGGAACTTCAGTGCATTTATTTTCTCTCCATCCTTTAATACACGGAGGCTGCTTTCCTGACTTATTATGTATTTTCAAATTATTTAAAAACATATCAGCATATTTTTAAAAATTCCCAGTGACAGGAATCTTTGGCAGGGCCGTATTTAGGGATTTTTCGCCCCCGGGCACAATATTTATGGCGCCCCTTTCCAACACATTTTTTTTAATACCATGGTGGCTAAATTTTATTTTTTTTTTGGGGGGGGGGGCATAACATTAGTTCATTTTTTATGTTTCCCTTTCTCATTGAAATTTAATTTGCAGTTAATTTTTAGCAATTTTAACTAGGTAGGTACCTATGCATTCCAATATTAGATTTTTAATAGTAGGAAAACTATACAAAAAAAAACATAAGTACCGTCGATTGGGGGAACATTGGCCTTTCGCAGGCAACATTGGCCCATTCGTTGGAAAGTGATTCATAATGTTATAACTGATAAGCCAATAATCCGAAATCATTGTTTATAGTGTCATTGTGTAGCTCTGTTATCTGGTATTAATTGTAACCCGGTTATAATGTTGTTATCATTATCATTTTTTCTTATCAGTGTTGAAAAAAAATCACGTCTTGCTAACGATAAAATACCGTTTTCGAACTTTTATTCGTGTGGCAGACTTACAACGTTTTGGAAATTTAGTAAGTGTACACTATATTATACAACTTTGTTAAGACATAAGAAATTGACATTAAAATAAGAAATCGTTATTACAATTTTTTTTAACACGTGATTTTCAATTTTGTCAAACATTGTCCCAAAATTTGGGTTAACTTTGGCCCAAGACATCCATGGGCTAATGTTACCCAACCATGATTTTTAATTAATTGTAATAGGTACCTGTTATTTTTTAGGCTTTATTGGCTGAATATGGATTTCCAGTCATAGAGTCTGACTTCCGTTTGATCGTTCAAAGTTTTTTGAATAAAAAAGGAGTGAAAATTGATGTTTTTAAAAATAATCTTCCAGGTTACGAATGGACGAAATCATTCTTAAAACGACATCCTAACCTGTCGATAAGAATGAGTTCTAATATCAAGAGGGTTCGAGCAGAAGTAGGTTTTGATGATATAAATAGCTATATGGACAATTTGGGTGAGACTATAAAAGACATTCCAGCATCAAGAATATGGAATTATGATGAAACCAATCTCAGTGACAATCCTGGCAATAAAAAGGTAATTTCTAAAAGAGGAGCTAAGTATGTTGAGAAAATTTGCAATTTTAGTAAAAGTTCCACTTCTGTAATGTTTTGTGGTAATGCAGAAGGCAAATTGCTGGCACCGTATGTTGTTTATAAAGCAGAAAATATGTGGACAACATGGACTGAAAATGGTCCAGAAAATACCCGATATAATCGTTCTAAAAGCGGATGGTTTGATAGTATTACTTTTGAAGACTGGTTTACAACCCATTTTTTGAAAGAAATTAAATGCAGCAAAGATAATCCAACCGTTTTAATCGGAGACAATCTTGCGTCACACATAAACATTAAAGTTTTACAACTCTGTGACCAATATAATATAAAATTTGTTTGCCTACCACCTAACACAACCCACCTTACTCAACCTCTTGATGTGGCATTTTTTGCTCCAATGAAAAAAGTATGGAGAAATATTCTAACTAAATGGAAAGAATCTAAAACTGGATCCAAATACTCAACGATTCCCAAAGATTTGTTTCCAACATTATTAAGCGAATTAATTAATAACATTAAGACAAATGCAGGGCAAAATTTAATATCAGGTTTCAAGAAATGTGGAATTTTTCCTTTTAATAAACAAACGCTATTAGATCGACTTTAAACAAAGATAAAATTGTAAAATAAATTTAAAAATTATGTTTTTATTATTTTTGTTTTTATTTAGTAGTTTAACATTGGCCTAAGTCATTAAATACATGATTTTCTATGAGTTCAAACACTTGGGACATAGTTACACTATTTACAGGTAACTTTGGCCCAAATTTTCCAAAAAAAATTTTTGATATAAGGTAAACATTTAAAATTTTTATATACTATTAAATCTCCAAAAAAAACTTCGGAGAAGTAAAACAAGTCTTCTGTGCTTTACTTAAATGGATTGGAGTACTTGAATTTTGAGGTAAATAAAAAATTGAAATCAATATCAAAATTCTGTGCTTAGTAGGTGCAAGAGAGAGTATAAAGAAAGTTCCTGTTAAAATTGTGGTAAATAAAGAAGTGAAATCAAACCTCAAAATTCTGTGCTAAAACTTAATTGACTATTGAAGAAAATTCGATGACATGCAATTTTACCACATTTTTAGCTACAAAAAAAATTGCACAGAACGAAGTGCATCCATGGACATGTGAATTTTTGCGGGCAAATGTGGAACGTTCTGTGCAATTTTTTTTGTAGCTAAAAATGTGGTAAAATTGCATGTCATCGAATTTTATTCAATAGTCAATTAAGTTTTAGCACAGAATTTTGAGGTTTGATTTCACTTCTTTATTTACCACAATTTTAACAGGAACTTTCTTTAAACTCTCTCTTGCACCTACTAAGCACAGAATTTTGATATTGATTTCAATTTTTTATTTACCTCAAAATTCAAGTACTCCAATCCATTTAAGTAAAGCACAGAAGACTTGTTTTACTTCTCCGAAGTTTTTTTTGGAGATTTCAGCTATTTTTCTGAAGCAAGAGACATTAATTCTATATTGATAATGGTACTTTCCTGTTATACGAGACTACGGCTGTTATCGCGACTACCACCCAAGACTACCTTCGTTGTCGAGACTACCGCACTTATTTTGTGAAACATCACAATCCTGTTATCTAAGACTACCAAAATGGTACTTCCTGTTATACGTGGCCACCTTTATTTTTCTTCCCTTCTTTGATAGATTTTTTAATAATATGTACTTTGGGGATGGCCAGAATGAAATAAAGAAAACATTTAAATACATAGTAATTATTCGTAATGTATTTTACATGTTACACGTCAAAGTGCCAAATTTGGCGCGATGTATGGAAAACAATAAATTAATAATAATAATACAAAATGGTAAATCCACAAATAAAATAATAAATAATTTAGGTACGTATTGTGGGGATGGCCACATTCAAATTATATAAAAAAAAATTTAATACATAATAATTATTTGTAATGTACCAAATTTGTCGCGGCATACGGAAAACAATAAAATAATAAAATAATAATAATAATACAAAATGATAAATCCACAAATATAATAAATATAATCGCAGCTTATGGATATCGTTAGACTATAATGTCAGCTAAATAAGATAGGTAGTCGCCATAACGGAGGTAGTCTTTGGTGGAAGTCGCGATAATAGCCGTAGTCTCGTATAACAGGAAAGTATAATTTTGGTAGTCTTAGATAACAGGATTGTGATGTTCTCAAAAAACAGGGTAGTCTAGTATAACAGGAAAGTACCTTGATAATCTATTCTATAATTATATATTATTTCTCTTCTAATACTAATATGTGAGCATTTTTTTAATTGATCGGCCATGGTCTTTTAATTAGTAGTTTATGCAGTACTTGCATAAAATACGGACTCCGCGAGACAGCAGGGAAAGATTAACATACGGCCGACCGTCGGTACGTTTATCACTGTTATTGGAATAATGTACGCCGTACGGATGGTAATAAATAATAATCGAACGGACGGACAATATGGCTACAGTGCTACACACAACCAGCAGCACGGAGGCTAGCGAGCAAATGAAATAGTAATAGGAATTAGGAGTAGGAAGCGCGTTGCGCAGTGCGCTATGCCACACTGCCGCGCCGCCGTGCAACCAAGGTCACACACTCACGCATGCGCATATCGTCACAACTCAACGCGGTATTGCGAAAGCGAAAAACTAGTAAATTCGACCGTTCTCCATATACGTTGCATGTAAAAATCAAAATATCGTCCGTTTTCCTGTATATATATCTCTCTGTTCACTCTGTGCTACGACACCGGGCCGCCGTAAAGCACAGAACGCTCTCTAGCGAGATCTATCGATACATTGGCTTACTCATACTTAAGATGGAAAATACAAATATACATAATTTTTAACAAAATATCATTCCAAATTTTGGGAGACATTTAAAAAAACATAAAATATTGGGACAATGTTCCCCCAATCGACGGTAACTAGTTTATAACTTAGGTCTTAGGTACTATCTACCTAGAATCTTCCATGATTCAAATAATAAAGAATGATATACAATTAATAATATGTACTATAATATAGTAATATAATAATATTTATTGTTTATTTTACAATTTTTTTCTTGATTGAATATCAGCAAAATGATCTATAATATCTTCATATTTAATTTGTTTTGTTATTTCTGATTAAATATTTAATATTGCATGTGAGTTTAATCTCTCTTTAGAAATTGTTGACCTTAGGTATGTTTTTATTCAGCGTAAAGTTGAAAATGACCGTTCAGCGGTACAGTTTGAACAGGGAGTACATAAAAACATGTGTAAAGCAAAGCAATACTAACACACGGGTAAATCGTAAATGTCTTCTGATCCTTCTATTTTTAACATAGAACTCATATCAATACTAGTTGATGGAGAATTTTTCATACTTTGAATATAACTTTGAAAATGAACACATTCGTTAATACATGTTACATCCAAATCTTTTGTATACATTGAGTACAAATGTCCAGCTAAAACACGTACTTCTGATGGTTTTATCTTTGTGAGTCTTAAAAAAAAACTATACTTTGTTATGACACTATCGTAAGCTAACTTTCGACTTGTTAATTCTTCTATTATAGAATCACAAATCACTAAATATGTGTTTACTTTGAATTCCAAACTATGGTTTCTACTTTCTCACTATGCTCTTCTCTTTTAAGTTTAAACATTTATTTCGTTTGTTTTTCTTATAACTTCATTAGGTTTTTCCTTCTTTTTTTGCCTCCTTACCATTGCATACACCACTAGCTTTGACTCTTTTTAGCTCCATTAAAGTATAATTTCGACTAAAAAATTGTTATGACACAATTAAACTTATCTAGTCTTACTTATTAATTATTATTTACCTACTTGCCACTATGGCTAAATTACTGCATTCAATTCATATGTATAATGTATAAATATATAAACATATAAATATATCCAATAATTGTATGCAGATTTGCAATGTAATTTAAGTGAACCTAAACTGTGTAATTGTAGTGTACCTACCTTAACTGGCACAACCTTACAATATCAATTATAAAGTTGAAAGTTTTAATATTATTATAAATAATATAATAATAATAATAATATTTTATTTTATATAACAATTCAAAAAAAAGTAAACTCTTATTTCTATTATATTAGTTCACTTATTGAGATTTAAATTATGTAGGTACGGAGTACGTAGTCACTGACATATAGAGTTGTTCAAGTCTACGATTGCATAATGTATTTGATTTCTCTATTTTAGATGTACCTACATATTAATTTTTAAAAAAATGTGAAAATTTATATAGTGTAATCAAAAAAAAAATAAAAAATAATTGTATAAATAAAAAAAAAATTGAATTAACCTTGGGATTGGGAATTAGTTATGCATTGTATTACATGAGGACTTAAAACTAGGTAATGCCGTTAAGGGGCCTTACTACCACGTCTTTTTTTTGTCAAAAACTACTGTTTCTAATTCCAACGATACGTGTCGACAATTATAACGATTTTCATTCTGAAAAAATATTCTGATTGTCCGTAATATATACAAGGGAACAATCGAGCCACATTTTTAATTTTTGTAATTTAAATTGCAATAAAAATTGTGAAAAATTCAAAAAAAGTACAGAATTTCCAACTTCAATATTTAATTAACTAAATACAATTTTAAAAATGTGCCTCGATCGATCCCTCGTATATGCTGTGAAAATAAGAATATTTTGTCAGAATGAAAATGGAGGTAATCGTTGAGACGTAATGTTTAAATTAGAATCGTATGTTTGAGTGAAAAATAAACATTTTTTCATGATCACAAATGCAGTTGCCTACTATAAGTATTCAATTTTTATATTTTATATTATTATTAGGTAATATCATGTAATATAATAACGACAATGGTCGGGAGGCGCATTCACAGCCTGCTTATATCAATTATTGAACTATACTATACGGTATAAGCGGTATAGGTAAGGTATAGAACAAAATTGGCGCCTTTACCTATCATGGTCGGGAGCACGGACTAAGATATACTAAGGTATATCTTAGTCCGTGGTCAGGTGTACCTTATCTTACCGACCATGGTCGGGCGTATAGACACGGGGAATAATTAAATACTATAAAATATAAATGATAATACGAGAAGGCAATGGTAATCGGGCATATAGAGTATAGACACAGCGTTAATTATTATAGGATTTGATGCGCTAGCGCTACAGATCTTCAGGAGTATCACTTGTTTTATAACACTCCGGTGTATGGTAGCTTAACATTTGTTCCAAGTGATCGAACTTCACATTGATCTTCCCCGAAATCATTTCGAGTTGGTCTTGTAGTGTTTCGTACATTTGAGATAGACCCTTATATTTTAGCATTATGTCTTTAACATCTTCTAAACGTATAATTAGATATTGATATTATAACGTAAAATTTGTTTGAAATACCGATAATATTTAAATTATAATTTATAAATACTTTCGACGGCAATCAAACGAATATTAATGTTGTTCAAATTTAATGTCAATCCTTTGAATTGTGTGTCGAGTCTTAACTTTTGTTCTAAACAAGAGAAAATAATGTATCGTTATTTAGAAGCTTATTATTAAAAGGGATTGTATGGGATTCCAAATTATTGTATA